TTCTTCTGTTTGCAGTGCTGTTGTCCTGCGTAGTTTACTCTATTTTAATAAGAGACCAGTATTACATGTCTTTATAAGATCGATTTAGCAGGATTTTCATTTAAAGAAAAAATAATTTGCTTCAAAATTTGACTCGTGAAGGATTTGAACCTTCGACCTCCATTGTTCTAACATTTGTTAATAACGGCGCTCTAACCTACTGAGCTAACGAGTCTTGTACGCAAGAATCCAAAATATCGTTTAGTAAACCAGGTGGATTACCGTATCCTTTGATAATATGGTTATACTTAATACTTATATTTTATCAAGAGATTATCTTTGCTTCTGATGTAATCAGTACATTTTTATAATTAAGTTCGCATATAACGAGTTACTGAGTTTATAGACGGACCATTTAGGGAGGAGAAGAGGGGGGACCCTTTTGCCATTTGGTCATCAATAGCTTTTAATAGTTCATGGCTCGACATAGGCATCTCCTTAGGAAGGAGGCTTTGGCCTGCTATACCACGCTGGCCAGATGGGTTGGTATAGCTTGTTTCAAGTTTCTTCTGTTTGCAGTGCTGTTGTCCTGCGTAGTTTACTCTATTTTAATAAGAGACCAGTATTACATGTCTTTACAAGATCGATTTAGCAGGATTTTCATTTAAGAAAAAAAATTTTTGCTTAAAAACTTGACTCGTGAAGGATTTGAACCTTCGACCTCCATTGTTCTAACATTTGTTAATAACGGCGCTCTAACCTACTGAGCTAACGAGTCTTGTACACAGTAATCCAAAATATCGTTTAGTAAACCAGGTGGATTACCGTAGCCTTTGATAATATGATTATACTTGACTTTATCAAGAAATTATCTCTCTGATGTAGTTATTGGATATTTAAGCTGTTGTAATGTTTGTAAGCAGTAAATACTATTTTATTATTAAGTTAATACACGTACAACGAGGAATTGAGTTTACAGAAGGCTTATTTAGGGAGGAGAGGAAGGCGGACCCTTTGTCATTCGTTCATCAAAAGCCTCTAATAATCCACGGCTATACATAGGCCACTCCTTAGAAAGGAGGTTTTGTCCTGATATACCACGCTGGCCATATGGGTTGGTATAGAGCTTGTTTCAAGTTTTCCTTCTCTTTGCAGTGCTAATGTCCTGCGTTGTTTGCTCCCTTAGCCGGCTCTTCCGACACCCCCGGAATGAATAGGGATGGTGACACTCCGTATTCTTCATCTGTCACCACACTATCATTCATTACTTAGTAAAAATTCTACGGAAACTGTTATTTCAAAAATCATAACTGATTCGTTATGCATAAGGAACTGTCACCTGTCATAGCTAAAAAAATGTTTTAGGTTAAACAGTGTTTTAGGTAAAAAATGTTTTACCTTAAACAGTTCTAGTACTTCTAGTTGACAAGTCTGATGGTCTAATTGGTTAGAGATCCTGATTGCTAAGCTAGATATTGTGGGTTCGATTCCCACCAGCGACAAATATTGTTTGATGAGCCGGATCATTTGTTCTATATCTGGGTGTAATTTATCTAAAAATATGTATGCATATAGAAATACATAACTTGAAATTGACTGCACGGTTGGATTAAGCGGTCACCTCGCCGCTGCCTACTGTTGTGGGTTCAATCCCCACATGGGACAACACTTTATGTGATTCACAAATTTTAATTCTGTCTGGGTGTTCTTTTTGTCCGTTTCATGAGTTATTGGTGTCGCTCTGACACATAAAAAAAACCAAAAAAATAATACATTATCTAGAAATATGTGTGCGTTGATGCAACAACAACTCAATACACAATACTATTGTACACAGTAAGTGGGACTTAAAATTGTACCCGGCAAAATTTAGGCGTCTACCACATTCGGGTAAAGACATGAATTGTATTTATTTATGTAGTTCTAGCTGTTGCATTTTTAATATTAGTAGCGCCACCTATCTTGTGCTGCCCAAAACGGCCTTAAGAAAAAAAATCGCACATCGAATATCATATTGCAGACAGACGACCATTTTCTCGACCAAGTGTCTCAAAAATAAAATTTTAGTTGATATTTTTTCAAATAAAAATGATATAATATGGCTAAATCTAAGGCATATCTTTATTAAACATGCTTTATCGTCTTCTCTTACCTTACCTACATACGAATATTAAATTCACATCGATATGCCAAAAAATCAAATAATTTTCTCGAAATCCTAATAAATATTATAAATTCGAAAGTGAAAACGTTTATTACGTTATACTCCTTTTATCTACTTAACCGTTCATCATGACATTTTGCGTACGCAATGTCAAGGGTACACAAAAGTAAAAAGGAAACATTTCATCCAGAAAAAAAAGCTGTTTTAGAAGAAACTTATTGACAAAACCACATTAAACGAACCACCTGTTATGTATGATTCTTTGGACGATTAAAATGTAATGATATGTAATATCTGTTTGTGGAATTTGCAGGTTGTTTAGTCATTAATTAATATCTGATACTTCAGTGTTTATATTAGTTCTATTCTCAAGGATACTCCAAGTTCAAATATAGACGAACAATGTCAGTAAACGTTACGAAATTAAATAGGCGGCTATGGTACAAAATAACGCATAAAAATTCATGATGCGCAGGCGACGTAGTTGAGTTGCGTACGGAGAAACAACGGTTGTGTGCCGAGCAGTATTACAAGCACAAGCTTGCTGCGACGAATATACAGGAATATACATATTGGAATATACAGGAACTGCAGCTTCTCACAAAATGCAGCTCCATAATAATACTTGCATCCCTCCAGTCACTACAGCAGCCATATCATACATACATATATAAATCAGACAGATAAATGCAGTGGCACGGTAGATACGTCTTCTGTAGAACTGTGTCTACCAGTAGTTTACCATAAGTTTTGAGTATATTTGACATCTAAGATACCATAACAAAAATCTTACTTTGTGACCAAGCTAATAAGAATATTTTTGTTGAACGTTTGTGAAGTCATCAAGTTATTCCGACTGATTTCGCCGATGGATAATAATGACTACTTCTACTCCTAGTCAAAGCGGCCCTGGTACACTCAAAGATGGGAACATAAGCGATATTTTTTGCAAACACCCGTAAACACTCTACGCACGTATTTAAAACTAGAGTTGTTTTGAAACATATACTACTACTGCGATCATTATTCCTACGCTAGCTGTAAGGCTAATTGTATTTTATTATATAATACTATATATAACAGTATTATGAAAGTAGCTTACTCTGTCAATGCAAGTGCTTTAACATTTGATTGAGACATCTCATTAGATCTCCGAAAATAATCACAGAGCAATCATTTTCTGTTGATTAACACATTCTATGAGAACAATAGACGCAGTTCACACGCACATTACAAAATTAGCTGTGCGATTCGTCATAGTGCGGCCGCACTTGCCGAAGGTAACACAACGCGCGGTCGGATCCGAACGCACGCATCCGGTGCGGCGCCCGCGCACCCCAGCACACCAGTATTATTTAGAGCTTTAAGTACTCAAGTTGTGTCATGTAAAGTGATTCAGTGAACATGGTGGAGTTCGCTTTAGAAAATAATGTTAGTATCTACTACTTTAATCTCATACAGTGTGTGTTTTAATGCAGTGATTGCAGGGTTACTTTGTTCAAAAATCCAAAGTCACACTTTTTTAATAATAATCTGTATTTCGCTTTAAACCTAGTAGTTAAACTAAGGCGGAGGTTTATAAACACATATTATTATTACAATAATTATACAAGACGCTGAATTATTTTTTAATGTATCCGGTGATAGCAAAGTTCCTTTGTTTGGGAAGTAAGAACCGACGTATTTTGATGCGATGTTATATCTCAGTGTAATAGTTCAAGTAGTGTAGTTCCTTCCCTTCCTTTGAGAGTTTTAAAGGACCCTTCTACTTATACTCAGTAAAGTCGGGCTTTCTTTTATGAATCACGTAATTCTTCAAGTCTGAGGAAAGTTTAAAGTACGAGATTAGTGTTATTATTATATTGTTAAGTATTCAAATAAGTTAGTAAATAAGTGGATACTCTACCTGATAGTAAGTAATTATCAGGGTCTGTTAACAGCGTCAAGTTTCCATTTTTCTGGGACCTAAATTATGCAATTTGATGTTTAATTATTCAACTGCAGCAGGGGTCAAAATTCGCTGTCTCTTCAGTTTCAAGTTCTGTTCAGTATGGACTCAGGTATTTGTTAGAAGACTCAACCTACCCATCAAGAGTCAGTTCGAGGTACTTCGAATTTTTCCATAAATTGCCCGTTTGGCGGATATAGGCTTGTCTCCTGTTATGTATGTGAGACCAAATTAGTTGACAAAATTGTTTATACATGTGTATATTAGTACGGTTGGATTTTTCTTTCTTCTTCAACATCCTTTATTAGTCTACTGCTGGAAATAGGCCTCTTCTTAGAAAGGAGGTTTTCGCCTACTATACTACGCTGGTCAGACGGGTTGGCATGTCTTCCTTCTCTTTGCAGTACTGTTTGTCTTGCGTAATATGCCGCCTTAGTCGGATAAATAAGGGTGGTGACACTCCGTATTCTTAATCCGTCACCACACGGAGATTATTGGATTATTTATATTTCTGTTATAAATTAAGGTTGTAACTGCATTTTAAGCGATAGTCTATTAAGCTCCGAATGCGATTTAAGCGGAAAATTATGATACTGTCACTACACTAAGTCCTTAAGATGTAATAGGCATTCAAAATTAATAATTATTGGTAATTTCACCGTTTGAAATCAAAATGTCCGCACCGCACACGTAATATTAAACATATAAACTTTCAATTACTCAAAACAAATTAAAACCACTTATTTTTATAATTTCCTTCTTTAATAACGCGCCTTTCACCAAAGTTACCACGTTTACAGCTATACCAGACATACACCTAACAATTCTGACTTCCAACAACCCATTGTGTCCGATTCCCATGCCACTAAGAAACTATAACATGGTTAAAACATACCGTTTCTCACACAGAATCAACAAGCCGGCACTTCAGCTGAGTTTAGGCAGTACCATGATCAATACGGATACAACGTGAACCAGAATCAAGGAGCTGTCCCAAGAAACATACAGAATTATGATTCCCCAAAACCTCCCATACCAGCTAAGACTTATGGCAAAGTAGACACCCCAAACAATTCGCAATTAATAACTGTGACTGTTGAAACGGGCAAAGATAACACAAGAGATGCACCCAAAAGCGCAAAATCTGTAAGTAAAACTTACCATACACTCAAAGATATGATCTCAAGCAGATTTAAAAGTAAAGATGCCAATGATGGTGATAAAAGTAATGAGCAAGAGCCAGGATTGAATAATAGTGAGGAGAGGAAAAGACCAGAGATTGAAAGACGGCCCGAGCCGCCTGAACAGGTGACGCCTAGAGAGAACGGCCCTAGGAAGGTAGAGCAGGGGATTTATGGAAGGCCAATGACACAGACGAGGCCAGAAATGCAGTACAGCCACGGACTCACCAACAATATGGCATATCCTAGTCCTTCACCACACAGGTGTGTAATTTTTATCTTTTCTTATTACCTGTAAATTCTAGCAATTGATTTACTGACACAGAATCAACACAATGCTTATGTTACCATTCGCAAATATATGTATTTGTGAAAGTACAGTCATATGTAAGAATATATTACGCACATGATTGTATTTTGAAATGTTATTTAAACGATAATAATTAATATGAATAATCAGTTTTTGATCATCATAAATAGTTACATAATATTGGAGAGACTTTTAAGGTAGTTTTAAGTACCTACTTATTCTAACAAACATTAGATTTTAATTTCTTTAAGTGAATAGTGAATTGTTAAAGTTATATCTGTTGACAGGCCTGTTGTTCTAGTGATCCTGATTACTGAACTATTATTTGTTTGATCAGTTTGGTTACCATAGTACCATTGGACTCTGCCTAGTTGTGTGTGACGTGTGTCAATTTTTTATTGTTACACACAGCCATTCTGTACTAGACTCGAAGCAGTTTTAACATTAAAATAATAATTATTATTGAAGTGAAAACTTCTTTAGGTACGTTGTTACTGAAGTTACCGTTACCGACACCTCTGTATATAAGTATCTACATATATTGGCTCCGTTTACACGAGAGTTGAGTTTGGGTTGAAATACATTGATAATAAAACTATATATAATGTAAACATATATTGTGTATATACGTAAAATATAGATATATATTCATGTCAGAACTTTTTGATTTGAAAAAAAAAAACAAAAGAAAACCTGCTTTAATTTAAAAAAAAACAAGTTTTCAAGTGTTTTTATTATGTTATATTTTTTCTTATTGAGTATCTATCGTATATCGTATCATGTTCTTTATATTATCATCAACAGGCAACTGATGCAGCAGCAAATGGTCCACTCACAAATGATGATGAGCCCCCAGGCTAGATCTCAGGAAATGTTGGCGAGCACTCCTCACCGACAGCCGCAAGCCCTCGGTGCAGATGCCTTGTATCAACAGTACGGCCCTCCCGGCCGGAGGAGTGCTTTGTATCAGAGGGATTTAGATGTCAGATCTATGGCTAACTTCACATCATTGAAGAGTGGTCCCCAAACTCAGGTATGAAGTTATTATAATTTAAATCGAGTTAAATGATTAATGGTATCAAATGCTTATAATTGCGGTTAACTAAGACGCAATACCTTTCGTTGGGGCAATTCTGTTGTCTTTTTCATTTTTTTTTGTTGACGGGGTAGAAAATACCTTCGGATCTTCTGCTCCTCTGAGACTCGGGAGCCAGGAGTATGTGGTGATTCCACTAAAAACCACCCCGACGGCCAGCCTCAGGTGTCCTTCTCTGGGGAGGACCAGGACCATATTATTTAAGGTCCTCCTTGAATAAGTCCGGGTGTCTTAATGAAAGTTATTCTAGGACCCCTTCGTATTTTAGGCGCAAAGTGGCACACCGTGGTTTTAATCGGTTCGATTTTGACAAACCCCGGTGGGGTATCGGCCCGAGGAGGTTTCCACACGTAAAACTCTGTAAAACCTTTCTGTTTACTCGAGATTTTTGTCAAATTGTAACGATCGGGAATTTTTTATTTTGGCAACTACCCGTAGTGGATCTTTATCTTTGTTTGCGCTGTGCTGACAGCAAGATAAAGATCCACTACGGGTCCACTACTTGGACACATTTCATTAACGATGAATATAATGTGCTGTCGACTTCGATTCTTTCTATGACGATTGCATTTTCTGATAAAATACACACACACATAAATCACGAGAGTTCAAAATAATCATATTAGAAAAAATAGTCTTGTACTTCTACCATTGTTGTAATATCTATACAAATAAATAAAATTGGAGTGTCTGTATTTTAATATTACAAACAGACACTCCAATTTTATTTATTTGTATAGATAACCGCTTTTTAATAAATGCATATGTATGTTTACACGCTACTTATGCCAAAATAACATTTTTTACAATTTTTGTCTATCTGTCTGTTTGTTCCGGGTAATCTCTGGAACGGCTGGACCGATTTCGACAGGACTTTCACTGGCAGATAGCTGATAACATAAGGAATAACTTAGGCTACTTTTTTAAGACTAGCTTCGCCCCGCGGCGTTGCCCGCGGTTATAACAACAAACGCGGGTAACACCGCGGGTCTCAGCTAGTATACTATATATACAATTATATTTGAACACACATCAATAAAACAAGATCACATGTACAGTCATACGCTTAAATTTAAAAAGCTAAGACACAGATAATTAAAATCAAAGTGTCAGTGCTACAAAAAGTGAAGACAGCGACTAAGCGATGAATAAGTAATAGCAACAAAGTTAAACCCACGTGTTTGTAATAAACCAATCAGAAAGTATTTGTTTACACGGGGACAATAACCTCATTACAGTACAACAATAGGTCTTTAAATACAAAAAGAATCTGAACTTCTTTTATTCAATTTCATGTTTGGAAAGCTTATTTGAATCGTGTATTAAATTATACGTAACGTAGAAATCAATAGGAGAGTTATAAGAGACATCACACATAGTACCTATTTCTTACAATGACAGCTCCAAGAAACATAATAGTGTATAGTGTACAGTCAGCTGTAAAAATCTAAGAAGATTTTTCTCTAACAAGATTATTTTATTCTTTGTTTTACTTATAATCACATCACATCAACAGCCTTTAATGGTCCACTGCTGGGCAAAGGCACTTATAACGTTAGTTACAAATTAATGAACGTAATCCGTTAAAAGGAAAGCGATTGACTGATGGCCTTAGACTATTTGAAAGTAAAATTGAAAACACTCATTTCGAAATTAAAATTGCAAAAAATTTAACAATCAATTTAGTTCTAAAAATTTACCAAGAATTTCAAGGAGTTCACCGGCCATTAACGCCAATTTGAAACAATTCATCAAATAGTTAAACTGTGGTAACACTTGCAACACCTTTTACTGGGTCCCGGGTTTGGTTCTCAGACATTCTAACAATGCTGGTTCCCAACAATTAATTATGTTTCCCACGAATACGCGGCACTTATATGTATCTACTGCTTGTTATTTGAGGGCGCCGGCGTTGCACACATTTTTTCAAGAAACTCAATTTATTAAAGTGTTGTTTTCTTTATCAGAGTATAAAATATAATTCATTATAATTAAGTTATGTAGAAATATAACGTAAATATATAGCTAAGACTGATAGACACTTCTTGTAACCAGAAGGCCTTCCTTTCTCTAATACAGAGAAATAACATTGTATTTCAACGTGGCAGTACGCCGGCAGCATTGATATACTTCTGAAAACGCTACGCTACAACAAAATTAGCCTTTTGGAAATTTTAAAATTCTAATTCAAATCACTAAACATTCGAAATTTAAAGTTATTTAGCTACAATACTATACGTATCTTATCCTGACTGTCCCTAAACAGTATTGCAGACAGGTCAAAGACCTGTCTTCAATACTGCTCCTTCTGATAAATCGAGTTATGTCATTGGCCTTACAAAAAAATCCTAAGCAATATCCTAGTACGAAATCAGAGCATTTCTTAATTACTACAGTTTTTGCATCGAGACTTAATAAGAGGAAACCAAACGACTTCAATTTCCGGTGACGATGATATTATAAAAAGAAACTTGTTTTACAACGTAACAACCGTGTCATCCGTACAATTAAATATACGTATAAAACATGGCTATTATTATAGCACAGGTAAAATTTGTAAGCAATACACGTTGTAACAGTGTTTAAAATTATATTTACAGTTTGACAATTCACATTCAAGACCCGATCTCAGAAGTCCACAGCAATTAGAAAGAGAAATAATCAGACAAAGAGGCTTAGTTGAAGGGAGACGTGCAGCTTCACATCCTCACCTTCTAGACGAGCCCCATCACAGACCCGAAGTCACTACTCCTCAAATACATGATCAAGGAAGACGAAACTCTCATGGAAATCTGTTAGAAGTGGCCAATGAAATACCTCGACATTGCGAAGAACGGGAATCTGATGACGGTGGCTTTCGGGCTAGGCTTGCTGCTCAAGGCAGGTCTAGCTTTGAAGAGAGAATCCGTACAAGTGGAAGGTCTGTAGAGTCTCATAGACAAGAAAATGCTTACAGAAGAACCCCTGATATGCATAAAGAACGACGAACACCGGACACCCACAAAGAACGTAGAACGCCGGATAGTCACAAAGAAAGAAGAACCCCAGACTCTGTAAGACAAAAAAGAGATGAAGCATCCACTTCTCAAGATAGAATTAACGATGAGAGTGCAAGTCAAAAGTCTGCCGATAGCGTGTACAATTCTAGTGGGAAAGTGGAAGTTTACAATCCTCAGCCGTCTTCTTCGAGGCAGACGCCGAATAGGATAGAAGATTTGAAAGCTCACGGGAAGAAAGGAGCAGGGTCAGGCGCTAGTTCAGGTATATCTCTGTCTGTATTGATTAACTTTAAAATTTAGCAAAACAATTTCTGAAAATAATAATCATCATCACATCACATCAACAGCCTATACTAGTCCACTGCTGGACATAGGCCTCTCCTTAGAAAGGAGGTTTTGGCCTACTATACCACGCTGGCCAGACGGGTTGGTATAGGATGGTGTGTGTGGTGTGGTGACGGATTAAGAAAACAAATTGTCACCACCCCAATTCATCCCGTGGGTGTCGTAAGAGCCGACTAAGGGAGCAAACTAAGTAGGACAACAGCACTGCAAAGAGAAGGAAAACTTGAAAAAAATAATACTAGGTTTAAATATTAAACATTTTTCAACCAAAAACATATTATATGTATCTCTTTCATAGACTATCCTCTGGTCTAGTGGTTTGTGACTCTCTCTTAAAACAGTGGTCGTGGGTTTGATTCCCACCCAGGACGAATAACTATATGTAGTATAGTGAGCATGACTATTTATTGTCTCTCTGTAATTTTTCTGTACTGTGTATGCATTTAGTAATACATAACGATTAAGGATATGCAAAAAAAAAAGAGAATTTATCAGAAGTCTGGTTAGATAGAATTTGACAGCCGTGTGTGAGCTGTTTTAAGTTATTAGTATTGGTATCTAATAAACCAGGGTATCATAAATATTTTAACGTAACATTGTTAGCATTAGTAATGATACTTTGAAACATCTAAAACTATATTAAAAACATACAACTATAGTGTAAACAAGGCACTGCCAATAAAATCTTACTACTTCATAAAAATACTTCCAAATGCAATAATTGTCAGATTGATGAATTTGATAAGCAATTAGTGCTCTGAAAAATTTCAGATTACGACAAAAACGGCGGTCAGTCATCCAACGTGGACTCAGGTCGCGGCAGCGTGGCGTACTCTAGCGGCAGACGACCAGAACCATTACACGACACCTCAGCTGATTCCGACGCGCTGGGAACTCGCCAGCCGCAGCCTGGAACCAGCCAACAACCTCCTGTACCAAGTAAGTCCTTTTAATTAATAGGTATGTCGGCTTTGAGCCTATTAGAATTACACCATGTACCATACCGTATCTGTGTGATTCGATTGGACTTCACGGACGGCGAAGCGGTCACCTCGCCGCCTCCTACTGTGCTGAGTGTTGTGGTTTCGATCGCCACATGGGACAACGTAGGTATGTTTGTTAAGTCTCCCGCGACACAGCATTATTTCCTAATGCGGGAGTTGCCTTTTATATATCTAATAATAAGAATATTTAAAATAGGATAAAAATAAATTAGCGACCGCCTGCATCTTATTATAAATTAATTATTCATATATTTGTTATTTCACCTTATAGTTCGATATCAATAGAATCTGTGTAAATTAGTCAAAACAACACTTTTCACGATTCTTACAAGGGAAAAAATCTGGTGTAATTCACAAATAGTTGTCCCGTGTTTTTCTTTGTGTCAATCATTGTTAATGCAGGAGAGGTTTTGTAAACAAAAACCTATTAACAAACGATATTTATTTTCCAGCTGTTGAAAACGACTGGGTGGAATGTGAACTTCGACACATATTAGAACCAAAACTGGCGGGTATGAGGCTGGACTCCTCTGCCTCGTCAGACACGTCAGTCACTCCTCCCCTACCACCGCTGTCCCCGTCTTCTGATATGCACAAGAGGAACAGGTAAAATCGTTTCTGATTTAGAATTAACGATACACTTTAGTTCAATTACCACTTGGCAAATTCTTTGTCTGTTGCGTAGGTTTATTCGTTTATATGTTCCTATAATATATTTGTGTGTTGATTAGATAGTCCGTGTGGTGACGGATTAAGAATACAAATTGTCACCACCCCAAATCATCCCGTGGGTGTCGTAAGAGCCGACTAAGGCAGCAAACTAAGCAGGACAACAGCACTGCAAAGAGAAGGAAAACTTGAAACAAACCCTATACCAACCCGTCTGGCCAGCGTGATATAGTAGGCCAAAACCTCCTTTCTAAGGAGAGGCCTATGTCCAGCAGTGGACTAGTATAGGATGATGATGATGTTGATTAGATTAGAAGTAAGAGTTTGGAGATCCCAAAACATGTCTCGAACCTTAAAAAGGTTGATATTAATTATTTTACCAATCCTTAGAAGACTTAACTTAGAATGCACTAACCATTCAGTTTAAACTATATTTTGAACATGTATCTTACAATTTTCAGTCTCCCGGGGAGATCATCAGAGTACCCAGAAGAGAGGAGACGCGGCCGCGAGTCGCCGCGCTGGCACTCCCACTCACACAAGAAACACTCTTCCAAACGAGATCACCATTACAAAAAGCATTGTAAGTTCAGAGCATCGTCCTTTTACGTTGGAAGAACCGCTTGATATTCCACAACTTTTTTCGTCTATATTAATAATATAATAAAGCGACAAAGTTTTTATAGTTGTATGTTATGTTTCTTGAATTACATAATTCAGACAGACAGATAGATTTAATAATTCTTTTTGTAATATTTTGTGGTAGCGTAGTCGACTGCTGTGCTGAGGTTCCGAGTTCGATTCCCGGATTCCGGATAAGAGTAAATAAGTATTTTATCTGTCAATCTAGCTTTTATAGTATTGTGGTGAATCTGGTATAAGCCTGGTAGATACCAATTTTACTTTGGCCCAAAACAAACTGATGTAAAGTGATCCTTTTATAGCTTTACACTAAGATAGTAAGGTTACTGCAGGTTAAACCACTCCCCTCTTCCTCATTTTGGGGGACAATTAAAGGCAGAGAACGTTTCTGTGTATCCTGAGTTGTAGGTGTCCATGGGGGGCGGCAATCACTCACCATCAGGTGATTGCCTGCATGTTTACCTATAGCATAACAAACGGTACTCGGAAATCAATATTAAGTAAAAAAATGTGTAAACTTGTCAGTATTCGGTCTGGACACGACGGACGTGACGTCCACGACGACCCGCAGCCTGGACCTGTCGTCGCTGCTGGAGGGGCGCTCGGACAGCTCCGCGTCGGGCTCGGCGCGCGCCATCCGGCGCCAGCTGCGCGGGCTCGAGAACATGTACGCCGAGGTGCTGCAGCTGCTCGGCGTCAGGAAACCCGCCAGCCTCGCCAAGCAACCCACCTGGGAGTCCAGGTAAATATACTTTTGGATAGTCAATCTTTTAGCAAATTTTTGCTGGTTTCTAACGACCCCTTTTCTATACTACGACCCCAGTTTTGTAATATAACTAGATAATTATTTAAAACGGCGTGAAGGGTCTATAGAACCTCGGTCGGAAGGAAGTTCCTTTCGCTTTTTGGTAGACGTTTATCATAGTGTCAGAAACGAGTCTTGTTACAGATGTTTCGGTCTTGCTCCCATTCGCTCAGAGCGTGTAACGTGCTATAAGGAACTTCGTTCCAAAAAATCAAAACAAAAGCACTGACTGCGTGAAAATGTATACCTACACTCTTAAAATTTACTAACCGGTGAATTTCAATTTTCATATAGGCAGTGCCATTCTGACATTAAGACGTAACTAGCGACACCTCAAGTGTCATTATCCACCATTACCTGTAGGCTTATCCGTGTGGTGATGGATTAAAAATACGGAACGTCACCACCCCTATTCATCCCGTGGGTGTCGTAAGAAGCGACTAAGGGAGCAAACTACGCAGGACAACAGCACTGAAAAAGAGAAGGAAAACTTGAAAAAAACCCTATACCAACCCGTCTGGCCAGCGTGGTATAGTAGGACAAAACCTCCTTTCTAAGGAGAGGCTTATGTCCAGCAGTGGACTATTAAAGACTGTTGATGATGATTGATGACCTTTAGGCTAAAGAGCTAAATAAATATCCATACACTCGAAAAACATCCCTCCTTAATCCTTCTGGCGCCATCGAGGAAAAAGCTAAAATCTCCGTAAAATATAAGCTCAAGCTCCCTCAGACTCTTCAAGCTACCGCAGTTTGAATCTCGTCCACCATTCAAGACTTGCAATACCTTTACCGTAGCTTACTCATTCTATCTTTTCTTCTTACTCTAATTACCTTCTTCATCTGTCCCAGCTAATGACGATTATGTTCTCAATGATACATCATACATATAATACTCACTCCTATATCCCGTATAGGGTAGACAGGAGTATTAAACGCTGATTTTAGTTTTATATTCTTCATCCTTTGTTTTTTAAAAGAAACTTCAGCATTAGGAATATATCCTGTGTCGCGGGGGACTTTACAAACATACATGAAACAGCAATTTCTAGATCACACAAGGTGTCGTCCCTTGTGGTGACCGAACCCTCAACACTCAGCGCAGTAGGATGCGGCGAGGTGACCGCTAAATTCCACTTTGGTTTTAGTCCCACTTATGTAATTAGATGACACACCTATTACCGTCAATCAGACACATACATTTCTAAATAAACATCAATTATTCATTTCTAAATACCTTCATATTATATTCAAATTAGGCACAGAACAAACGATCTTGCTCATCACACAATATTTGTCTGGGGTGTGAATAAAACTCACGGCCTCTAGTCTAATACAGGATCAGAAAATAACGTTTCAAATCGGTAAATTCACAACTCTACTGGGTTATGGTTGATCACCAATAAGGAGAAGAAGTCAACTCTGCAGCAACTGTTTAATTTCTAATACTTTTTTATTTTCCAAGGTTATCGTCAAAGCGTCGTTACGGCAGCATGTCCTCTCTCCCCTCCAGCTCCGTCAGTAGTCGGCCCGTGAGGGACAAGAGACGGAGTACTACAGAGCATAGGAAGAAACATGATTATAAGGTAACTTCATCAGCTATCCAACACTAAAAGATTGTTCAAATCAAACGAGTAGTTTATGAGATGAGCGCGTTCAACCAAGCCTACAAACTCTTCAATTTCATATTAGATATAACTGTTTTAATTAAATATATGTAGGAAAATAACAATTAACATTGAATACATTTTAATGTTATTTAGTGCAAAATATAACATAATTTTCACTTTTATTTAAAAACAAATAAAAAAAAATATCCTAGCTTTAAAAATATTATTTCCATGGTGAAAAGTTTTTTAATTTGCAAATAAATATCTTTAAACAAGATGTAAATTTTGTGTTCCAGGGCATAAACAAGCGGTTCCAGCGCCTAGAGTCCCACGTTGTGACATTAGCTCGGTCAGTTGCTCATCTATCCAGCGAGATGCGGACCCAGCATCTCGTCATGCAAGAGATGGACAACATCAGGGCGGAGATCACCGCCCTTAGACATATGTACAAGTGAGTCAACTGCCCTATATTCTTTTCTCAAGATGTCACATGATTCAGGCAGTTAAAGGGGAACCCTAGAGAAGACGCGTTTTAAGCAATTCTCTCGTAACATTTCACCGAGTGAGTGAGGGTACTGAAGACCCTAGAGCTCCCTTCTGGGGGGTAGACCCCATAGCTCAATTCTGGGGGGAGACCCTAAAGCTCCTTTCTGGTGGAGAAGGAGCACTCTAAAGGTGGAAACGCACTTGAGCCTCTTCAGTTTCAGAAGTCTATGGGCGCCGCTAGTAACTTACCATCAGGTGACTCGCCACCAACAAATCTGAACATGTTGTCCAATAATTTTTATTTGTACCTGTTTCCAGATCCCAGCAGTACATCAGGTCAGGTCACCACGGCCGCCAACTGGACCCGTACTCCTTCAGCAACCCTGATCGTGTGAAGAGACTCACCAAGTTCTTCGGTGACGAGCCTCCGCTCATGAGGTTGTTCCTTAAGAAGCTTGGCTATGAGGTGTGTAAACAATTTCCTGACTAGATGATCTCTCAAGTTGTTTAAATGTTTTTGTTACATTTGGCCCGACGCCGCACATGTATTTTTTGTCATGTTCAAACATGTATGCACTTTGTAGCAATCATTTTAAAGTTTATTTTCGAGTGTCTTAGAAAAATCTCTCGGTCTGCGCTGGCCCTGACAGTGGTCATATATACTAGGTAATATCTGACATCTTACCTACCAATTGACGGCGAACTCTAGCATACCTGTTACATATTTTCGTCCCTTTTCACGAAATTACTCTCACAGATCTCACAGAACGAGAGAGAAAGATGTTACATCGTCAGGGTTATGTGTTCCGCTTTTTATTCACCCAAATAATATTTTTTGCAGAAATACGCAGCTTTATTAGAAAAGGAGAAAGTGGGAGCAGCAGAATTGCCCTACGTTGGCGAGGACAAACTTCGAGCACTTGGCGTTCCCTTGGGACCCCGGATGAGGATATTGAAGGAAGCTGGCATTCACCAGGAGCTGCACCATTTGTCAAGAGACGATCCACACAACACAACGACCACGCTAGCTATCGTTTAAAACTAGACCTTAAGTAGTCGGATTAAGATATGTAATTGAAAACAGACTGATTACTAGTTATGATCTTGTGATTGACAATACTGACTATAGTCAATTTTGTCGAAGAACAAACCAATACTACGACAAGTATTAAAAATAATTGTTAGCTCATAGGAAAATGAATTTTAATGAGTTAATATTAATATCTAATTTCCTACACATGTTTATTCTGATATTATAAAAAAATCCCGTCTGAGACCTGAAGACAAGTTTTTATATTTATTAAAAATAAAAGCCTGGACGCGGCAAGACGTTTCGCTCCTTGAATAGGAACCCCAGTTGGGGTGTGTGAAACCGTTGATATTTAATAAATATAACAATTTAACAGTTTATAACATAAGCACAGTAATGAGCTCTAATCTTTCTACTTCAATTTTTTTTTGGATGGATGTATGTTACTCAATCACGCCAGAACGGCGGATTCAATTTGGATGAAATTTGGTATAGAAATAGATTATATTCTGGAATAGCACTAAGCTACTTTTTATCCCGGATTGATTTAAAAGCCTCGAGCAGACTAGTATTCTATAAATATTGAAAGTAGCCATGCATCTCTCAGATTTTTCTCAAAATGAGAGGAAACAGCAACGAATGTAGTAATTAGTAAAAAAAATTGTAAGAATTAGTAAACGAAAAATAATATGCCAAAGAGTTTACTCGGCGTATGTAAAAACATGTATTAAACTGTATATAAATATATATTAGATTGTATATAGACTAAGAATTTTATATAAATATATTGTATAAACGTCTTGAATTTAGCTCAATTCATTTTCTATAGCTCAGAGAACAAAATTTTTTGAAGTTGAGCAAAACTCAAATTAAGTTAGCTCAACTTTATTATCATCATCATCACCGTGAGTTTTTGTAAAGTAAAAAATGCACCTTCTAAATAAGATACAAGAAGATAACTTACTGTTTTACTTCTGCCAATACTACATAAGACTAATGCAAACGTAACGTAACGCAAAATGTAACGTGTAACGTAACAACGAAATTATACAACGTACTCATTTTATTGTTAAAATTATTTCCCTTAGCATATTTAAGGGGGGTTCGTGTAGATAGAATAAACTTTTTTTATTTGATTTCAAGTCTTTTATTAGACGTTTCTAAATATTCTTGTTTAAAATTTACGGCGAAGATTACGTCACATTATCCTGCAGTCCCCAGCTACGCAGTGGCAGATTAACCCTTAGGAAAAGTATGCACCTGCCTAGGAGGCTCCTGGAGGCTCCACGTACAGGCTTGGCACCGTGGAGGCGACTGACGCAGGTCTTTTCTGGGCACGTTACACGCTCTATTGCTTGCGTACCTTCCAGCACCTCGTGCCACCCTGAGTGTGGTCTCAGGTCATCGGGTTTTCCCCTTCACTCGCCACGAAGGACTACCGCGAGGAGGCGACATCCTCGTGTGGCGAACGTCTTCTAAATGAGAGTTTATCCCCGAAGGTGGTGCCCGCGCTTTTAAAGGGCAGGCGCTAGGAGAGGTCCGGAACCGTCCTCTACCCAAATAGGACCGGTCTCGGTTGGCGTAAAATGCCGTGCGGTGTTCCGCAGGGGTCGTGGTGTCTCAGAACAAATCTGAGGCCTTCTTCTTTCGTGAGCCTCGGAGGAGGCTAACTAAGGGATCCAGTCTCGTAGTAGGAGGCACTTGCATCGTCGTCGAGCCCTCGATGAGGTATCTGGGGCGTACTGGGTCGGGATCGTGTGACTCGAGAAATCGAGGACCATAAAATCCCAACTCTGCCAGGTCCTCATGGAGGAGTGGATGCTTGCCTAAGGCGCTCTTGGTACCTACTCCGCCTCTGCAGCTGCAGATGCTAAATGTTTGTGTTGTAAGTAGATTCACGTTGGTATTGCACTAGGTGGGATTCGAACCTACAACCGCTTGATCATTGGTTCAACGCGCTAGCTACTACGTTAACGCTGGTGAGTATGACGCATACCTCCATAAATTTAGGTATGATTTTACCTTATATTTTTCCACAGAACAGTTAAAAAACTAGTCTGTGTATTTTGCCATAGACCGACACAAAGGTCAGGAAAGATACAAGAATTAAAAAACACATATACATTAATAAAATTACACAGGGTTGATTTAGGGATGACGCAGAGCATCCCAAAATCGACTGAAGAAAATTGTATGATATATTTGCAGGAACTATAAATAAATGAATAATGATTTTGAACGACTAACTAAAATCTAATTAATGCAGCTTTCTAAAACAAAACATTTTTTTTGTTCAGGCTAGTTTCTTTATCTTTATTATAAATCCATGTGTAGTTCATAGTTCATCATCATCGACAACCTTTAATAGTCCACTGCTGGACATAGATCTCCTTAGATAGGAGGTTTTGGCGTACTATACTAAGCTGGCCTGGGTTGGTATAGGGTAGGCAAACCCCGGTGGGGTGACGGTCCGAGGGGATTTCGACATGTAAAACAAAAAAAAAAAAAAGGGTTTGTGTCAAGATCATCCACTTTTCTTATCTTTTCCTTCCTATCCTTCGCCCTCTCGTGGGGTGACGGCCCGAAGGAGTTTCCACACGTAAAAAAAGGGTTTGTGTCAAGATATAGGATTCCAGATATAGGACAACAGATAGAGAATAGAATAGAATATGCTTTATTGTACACCAATTAAAGTAATTTGGTTAAATATTAAAGAGGGATATGTACAATGGGCGGCCTTATTGCTAATAGCAATCTCTTACAGGCAACCTTTGGATGAACAAATCGACAGTAGATAAAAAGAAACAGTGGGTAGTCTAGGTGTATTGAAGCTAACGTAGTGTCAAAATAAATAAATATACATTATATAATTATACATACAAACAAATACATATATATATATATATATATATATATATATATATATATATATATACAATATAAGTATCGTGGTCTCTTACTATGGGCCTAATCAGAAAGCTCAGAGTCGCTCAGCGTGCTATGGAAAGGGCTATGCTTGGCGTTTCCTTGCGTGATCGAATCCGCAACGAAGAGATCCGCAGGAGAACAGGGGTGGTCGACATAGCCCAACGGATTAGCGCGCTCAAGTGGCAATGGGCAGGGCACATAGCAAGGAGAACTGACGGCCGATGGGGCAGCAAGGTTCTCCAATGGAGACCACGGACTGGAAAGCGCAGTGTGGGACGACCGCCTACCCGATGGACGGACGACCTGGTAAAGGTTGCCGGAAACCGTTGGATACAGGCCCCAATCAACCGTCCCCGCTGGAAATCATTGGGAGAAGCCTATGTCCAGCAGCGGACAAGCATAGGCTGAGGTATATAATATAAGTATCAACAATTTATATTGATACCGCAATAAATTATCAAGAAATAGAAGTTGTCTATTAAAACACACAATTTAGTTTTTAGAAATATTTAGTTTGTTTTTTATAAACATACTTCTGGTGTAGTTCTAACCGATGTCTTTTTTTAAAGAGATTCGTCTGGAAGCAGCACACTTGTGTGTTGTTCTCCTTGTTCCATATCTTCCATCTGATCCTGTAGGTACTCTGAAATTTAAAATAAAAATGTTATATAATACTGGAGTGTCATACATTCAAAAAAGGGAAATCTTCTTAGCGTAGAGGTCCAGAGCCGTTCCTGAATGATTAAAAGAGTGAAGAAGCTAGCCGCGACTAGGTCAGGCGTAAAATGGTAAGTCATCCTGGGGGATTAAATTAAAGTTAATTAAAGATGGTTTTATACACTTGTGGATGCCCACATCCCATCAAATAAACCATCTTTAATTTTTGCAGACGGCTCACCTTACGGTAAGCGACAACTGCCACCCAACCATGGACACCTAAACTTGAGTAGCCACCCCTCTTCCCTTTTTTTTGGTGACGGGGTGGAAATTCTCTTCGGATCTCCGGCTTCTTGGGGACATAGGAGCCAGGAGTATGAGATGTTTCCACTACAAAACACCCCGACGGCCAGCCTTAGAGTAGGGCTGTAGGGAGAACCCGGGCTATGTGATTTCAGCTCCCCCCAGATCGACGCCGCACCTACGTAGCCCCTATCTGAGAGGAAGCCAGAGGATTCCCCCTGCCTATAAGTCTATCACTAGATGTTGCGGCCCGATTACATATATAGTGCGATCAGGCTGCTTTCCTATCCCCTACCGCAGCAACCCCCTCCCAAGCGTCGCGCTCGGTCGTCCGGCTACATAATTCACCCAGGGCAAATAAACAAAGGAATTACTTGCGTGGTATTAATTTATATTCTTATTCTAAATTATGGGTATCCGGCACCAATTGTTATTAAAAGGGTACTTACTCGGGGTAGTACTTTAATTAAGTATGAGCTGGTCGTGTTGTAAGCGAACTTCTGGATTTTGCCAGCTTCCATGGGACATGTGGTAAAAGTGCATGCGTCGTCTGATTTGAGGAGTTTAAGAGGCCACTCGTTCGCTCCTATATTCCAGAACAGGCCAGTCTTCAAGTTCTGTGCATTGAAGTCTGAAAACGATGTCATAATGATTAATATTTCATAATTTATAAAACTATTTTTATTCACACATCTCACACGCGATATCTGATCTCAAACTAGTGCCTGTGCTGTGGCAACTGACAGACTGCTGATAAATTTACTTACTTACTTACATCATTATCATCAACAGCCTTTACTAGTCCACTGCTGGACATAGGCCTCTCCTTAGAAAAGAGGTTTTGGCCTACTATACGACGCTGGCCAGACGCGTTGGTATAGGGGTTGTTTCAAGTTTTCCTTCTGTCTGCAGTGCTGTTGTCCTGCGAATGTTTGTTCCCTTAGTCGCCTCTTACGACACCCACGGGATGAATAGGGGTGGTGACCCTCTGTATTCTTAATCCGTCACCACACGGACTACATACAAATATATGTCTAAATATAAACATATCTGTATATATAAAAATGAACCCCTATTCCTCCTGGTCATGCTATAACTCGAGAACGGCTGAACCGATTTACCTTTTTTTTTTTAAATATTTGTTGAAGTCCAAGGAAGTTTTAAGAGATGAGAAAATATGAAGAAATGGTAATTATTAAAAAAGTAGTAACTGTTTTATTTCGCTCCACTACTATGCGCTTTTTAAGACACTTTTTGCCTCGCGCATCCAATCTGTGGAACGGGCTATCGTCTGCGGTATTTCCGGACCGATAGGACCTTCAAACTTTCAATAAAAGAGCGTACTCCTTCCTAAAAAGCCGGCAACGTGTTTGTGACTCCTGAGTGGCACTGAACAACAAATATATGTTAATATAAAAAAAACTCTTTAAACAACTTACAGGGTGTGAAATCGATGGCAATTGAAACATTACGCCCCGTTTTCACGAAACATTTAGTGTCACTATTACACGGTATAATACTTAGTTGGTGCACCCGACAGATGGTTCTCGAATCTAAAATAAAAGTAGTTATGGTAAGTATTATATTTAACGTTTTTTTTTAAAGACAACTTCCGCATTACTAATATATCCTGTGTCATGTTTATGTTAAAAATACATGAAACGGATACAAAGAACACCCAGACTCAGAACAATAATTTGTGGATCACACAAAGTGTCGTCCCATGTGGGGATCGGACCCACAACACTCAAGTGTCTAGTAAGAGGCGTGGCGACCGCTAAAACCACTACGCCATCCGTGCAGTCAAATTGCTTATTAAAATCTGTACATTTTATACTATAATCACACAGTATAATAATGAGGCATCCAAAATTAATTTTAGTTACGATTAAAAAAATAAAGCTATTTTATATAAACTAGATTTTCAAACTGCTAAAATAGTAACTGAGTAAATAGTAACTATCACCAATGAGTGGAGTTATTTTAGAATAACTCGATCATCAATGACGACAGCGTTTAACGATCTAAAATAAACTCGTAAAAGAGCCTTAAATCCAAGACGTCACTAACTAGTAAACAAGCTGTCATTTGGTATCATATCAATATTTTTTTATACAGAGAACTGTCAGTGACATAATCAAATACGTTAGCGTTAGTATCATCAATAATCATCAGCCTTTAATAGTCCACAGCTGGACCCAGGCCTCTCCTTAGAAAGGAGGTTTTGGCCTACTTTACCACACATAGTAGGCCTATACTATATACGGTCGGTAAAGAGTTTGTGTCTAATTGTCCTCTTTGCAGTGCTGTTGTCCTGCGTAGTTTGTTCTCTTAGTCGGCTCTTACGACACCTACGGGATGAATAGCAGTGGTGACACTCCGTATTCTAAATCCGACACCACACGGTCGTTGGCATAGTAGGCAATTTATAAAGTGTTTTTTTCAATGGAACTTCATTTCTGTGTAAAATGAGAACCTGCCACTCTGAGCTTCTGTAGTACATGCCCGTTTCCCATCCGAGACTTGTGCTATCCCTCGCCTCTCACGCCCTATCTTTTTTTGTCACCTCAATTCACCTTCCTGTGTCCCTGAAAAGGACTAGGTATCAGACAAGCGGGCAGTCATGAAAGGAAGCAGCCAAAAAGTTTTGTGATGTTTTACATTGTGCCATCTTGAAATTATACAGGGTAGATACAGGGCAATAATATAAAAATATATAATAACCTAACACATGACCGTCTGATCCCAAACTAGGCAGAGCCTCTACTATGGTAACCAGACTGCTGATTAAAATTCTTATATATTTCTTAATACATACATAAGTATTATAGAAACATTACACCCAGCCACAGAACATAATATAATTACTCAAATATTTGTCCTTTGAATTGAACTCACGACCCCAGGGTCGTGAGTTCAATCTACGGTGGTCGTCTAGTGGTTAGTGATACAGACTGCTAGTCCAGTAGCAGTCTGTATCACTAACCACTAGACGACCACGACGACAAAGATAATATGACATACAATAAAACGTTCACACTGGAAGTTTCATTTGATTGTACAAGGAAAATAAATGTTTAACTTATGGGGATAAGTTATTCAAACTGGCATTATTTCGATAATCAATAATCATAGTGCGAATATTTATCATTTATCAAATATTTAGAGTACCCCGGCCACGCTTCGCCCGGGTAGTAGAGCATCAGTACCGTCTTTACCATAAGGGCACACGGGGCCCGTGCCCAGTCCCGTTTTGTCACCGGGGCCCCGAAACGCGAATGCATAGAGCGATATATTCCCTTACATTATACTTTTTTTTTCTATTTTAGATCGATATAATCGGACAAAAAATTATATGTAAATGGGGGCTTAGTTAGCGACTTTGTAGTAAACCTTAGGCATTGACAAGCCAATGATACCATCTGACCACTGACCAAGGACCAGAGAATAGGAGTGCTTGGCCATGGAAAACATCTGGGTATTGCCGTGACGTGCACAATCACCAGAGCTCAATTCCATCGTGTACGCATGGGACATGCTCCAGAGACGTGTTCTAGAAAACCTTGACTGAATGTCAACAACTATAAGACTTGGTTAAATTCCATTGGAAAACGATTGCCGCAGGATCAGAGAAACAATCACACTTAGTACTGAAATACAAAATATAAAAAAAAAAATTCGTCATTCAATTTTGTAAAACATGAAAGCTTGTTGCGTTGAATGTGCGGATTAGAATTAAATGTAGCACATTAGTCTACAAGCTCCCAGAGGATTAGACTTTTACTGATGAATTTACACAAAATCTTAACAAATTACACCACTCTGTCTATTGGTGAAAATCGCATTAAAATCCGTTTAGTAGTTTTTCATTTTAGCATAAAAGCCCGACAGACACGCTGGAGGAGTTTGACACTTATGTTTGTTTTATAATTTGTACAGAATGAAAATAGTTCAACAGGTAAATTACAACGGAGAAATATACATACCTATGACATGAATTCAAAAACTAACTACCATTGCGAACTATATTATCTTAACACTTATGTTGTCTTTTAAGCATTTAAGAATATATTTTAGTATAGTGTGTGTGTTTATTTAAGTGTTTGGTCTATATTTCGTGAACTATACACTGTTTTAATGCGCGATTTACAAGCAGTCGCTTATACCCGCGTGTATTTATGTAATTCAACATCAGACAAAGATTTTAATAGGGGAGAAGTGGGTAATGGGAGTCAGTGGGCAGTCGTGGTCACTACAATAACTCGAGAAATAAAATGCGCTCAGTTGCAAACGCCGCGTATCCAAGGTCATCTCACCTCATGCAGGCCCTGCACCAACACGTGGTTAGTTCGCGCCGAGCGCTCGGAAGATACGGCCCTGTGAGTGTTTTGTGCCATTTTCTTATAATTTTTCGTGTGCACAAAATAAACGGTAAGTCAATTTCTGTTATACATTTCAACTATTAATTCATTTCATACTGTAGTTAGGTCATTTGAGACTGGTTTTGTGATACATACGAAGTGACAAATTTTTAAACTATTGTTTTATTACCAATTTTTTTCAAGTTGTCAGATTAGGGTAATGAGAGTCACGGTCACTCCCATTTCCCGCAGTGATTCTCATTGCCCGCAATAATTATGGCGTTCACATGATTCGATTTTTTATAGTATATTTATATTATATTGTCTGTTTTGCAGATGCCAAAATCACGTCCCAATCAAGTACCAATAAAGCCCAGTGGTCTTCAGACACACTATCCAAAGCGGAAGATCTCATAAATAGAAGTTCATCTATAAGACAAGCTGCCAAATTTAGGGATATACCTACCATTTTCCAGCCTTCAAAACAGCTTAAAAAAAAAGATTCCTCGGAACCACGTATTGGGCGTCAAATCGTATTTAGCAAACAAGTGGAAGAGGACCTGGCAAACCGAGTTAAATTAATGGCAAAAGCTTTTTACGGATGCACTGCAACTCAAGTCAGAAAGATTGCCTTCCAATACGCAGAAGACCATGGAATTAAAAACAATTTTGACAAAAATGCAAAAATGACAGGTCGTGACTGGCTTGAAGGATTTCTGAAAAGAAACAATATCTCTATTCGCAAGCCTGAGGCTAACAGAATCAACCGAATCACTGCTTTTAATAGGCGGGAAGTTGAATTGTTTTATGGCTTTCTGGAAGAATTGATGGACAAACACAAGTTTATACCACAAAACATATACAACTGTGACGAGACTGGTATCTAGACAGTCCAGGATCCTGGAAAAATCTTAGCCCCTAAAGGTGTGAAAAGAGTTGGATCTATCACTAGTTAGGAACGAGGCAAAAATATAACAATGTTGTGTGCAATGAGTGCTGCCGGTGGATTCGTTCCACCGGCAGCACTCATTGCACAATGTCTGCACAGATGGAGAAAGATGGTCCAGCCGGTGCAATCTACAAATGTTCTGACAATGGATGGATAAACGAGAATTTGTTTTTTGAATGGTTACAACATTTCACTGCGCATACTAAGCCGTCACCTGAACAACCCATTCTACTGATACTGGATAATCATGCCAGCCACATATCACTACAAATATTTGAGCACTGCAAAAAAAATAACATACATATGCTTTCACTACCTCCGCACACATCACACCGCATGCAGCCGCTTGATGTCACATTTTTTGGGCCTTTTAAAGTTGCTAACAAGAGAGAGTTTGATTTATTTTTAAAATCTCGGCTTGCAGAAAAAATAACACCTCATGATGTGGCAGCGCTATCAAGCAAAGCATATGAAGCTGTGGCATCTATCAACAAAGGAGTGTCTGGATTTCGAGCAAAGAAACGCATAACACAATGCAAGATCGTGAAAAACAAGGCTAAAAGACGTGTTTTACAAGACATCTAATCGACCTCCGAGTCAGATTCAAGTTTCCATAACATTTGTGACGACGATGAAGATGATGACCTGGAAAATATAGATGGGATTGGTACTAATACCTGCCTTATTTGTACCGAGTTAGGGCGCAACAACGAGATCTGGTACAGATGCACGGTGTGTGGGCTATGGGCACACGCAAACTGCACCGGATGGGATTCAGCAGAAGGAAATATGTGCGACAACTGTTAGGATCTGTTGACTCCCATTACCCAATGCGTGACCACAATTACCCGCACGTGTGGGCAATAGTGATCAAAGTGATTTTTTTTTTCTTTAAGTCTTATAATTACGAAAGTTCATAACCAAAGTAAATGAAACTCGTCAGACTGATAGTTGATTAAGTAAACTATGTTAAAAACTTATATTAATAAGTATTACTACAAAGACTTGTGTTTTGGATACATTATTGCTTAAGTGACTCCCATTACCCACTTCTCCCCTATATATTTCATTATATCACACAAAATTTTGTACCCGATGTATTCCCCTGTTTCTCAAACCAACCAATAATATAGTCTTGTTCTAAGAAATAATTCCGATAAAATTTCTACCTAATTAGAACACCTACCTAACAAAACCCAAGTTATAGGCAACCGACTTTATAACTTGATAAATGATGACTACATAAGGGACTGCATAAAAATACACGTCAAATTTTAAACATCAACAAAAGACCCCATTTAAAAAAAAAACTACTTTTTATAGATAAAGATACTCACGTTGTTCACAAGGTCTGATGTATAGGGTCGCTAGGGTCGAACACCATAACATAGAAAAAAACACAACAATAAGAAAACTCATGTTCTTTTTGACACGTACCGCTGAAGCGACTGCCCCGTCCCGGATCGGTTTTACATATATATGATTTAGGTATTGTTAACAGGGAAATACCACGTAATTTCCTTGTTGAGATATGGATATATTAAAAGAAGGAAAGAACGGCTGGACGAATCCAGATAATATTTGGCACATAAATAGATTATAGCACAAGGCACATGGTTACAGTTACATCAATGATATATTTATTCATTTCGTAAACATCTTACAATATAGTGGCTGGGGTAAAGAGTTCTGATGATGGTCCGGATGTCTTAATATCAGCTGTTTCCGGACCCCTCCTATATCAGGCACACCCACACGGTGTGCCGTTTTATTTGGTTCGATTTCCACACACCGCCCAGCCGCAAACCCCGGTGAGTGGGCCGAGAGGGTTTCCACACGTTAAAAAAAAGGGAGTTCTGCTGATTATGGAATCCCTTTGAAAAGCCTTTGATCAGAGTAGAGCGATATTTCAGCACCATACTTTTCTCTTTCCCATAAATTAAATAACTTACACGACGACGACGAGGAAGTTGTGCGAAACGTGGAATATAACCAAAATCATCTCGTCCAGGTCTTTGTCAACCGCTGCGTTAGACGAGTTCTCGATACATAACGATCCGGGAAAATCTACGATGAAGAGCTGTTGGAACCCATTTCGACCAGTAGATCAAAGGTCGCTAATGAAAATGACTTTGTCACACTCTCCGTAGGGTGCCTGAATACATACCAAAGCAGCTGCTGGATTGGAATCCTCAAAGAAAGCGAATACGTAGTCGTCTTAAGTAAACCTAGCTACAAACAGTTTAACCGTGGAGGCGAAGAGCTGACTGAAATGATACTACGCCGTCATAATAAGACAGTGTTAGGCTATTCTTCCGTTGCTCCAACTTTGCTTCCCCCTATTTCTGAGGGATGGACGAAAATTGCGGTAACGCGGCAGTAAGTCACTTATTATCAATTGAAATGTCCCCTCGTTTGCCCCCCACACCATACAAGAAAATACAGTAGTAAAGGAGGCGAAAGACATTGGCAAGGCATGGTGCGTAATCAAGGAACGATCGCAATGGGGGATCGATCTCTCACCCAGCCAGGGAATGTGATGCATCACGTGTCAAATAATAGTAGCAACTGGAGGAAACATTAAGTACTAAAATAAGAAAAAAATGTGGTTTTAGAAAAATACGTTGTTTTTCCTTTATTTCTTTAGTTTTTTTTTCATAAATGATATTTGTTTCATTTAAGGCGTATGTATTGAACTTTTTATTAAACACAATTTATTTCACTATATCATTCGTGTCCAAGAAATTATCGTTTTATACGAAAGCTTGGAAAATGATTGGTCAGGGCGGGGCTTGATTGATGCGTCACTATTTTCTTAACGCGAATGTACCATAGTCAAATAAATTGCTTGCTATTCACTTGGCTATCTTTAGTGTCCGAGATTTTCAGTATAATAGAAAGAAAACGCATATATCATTAATACTTTACTTCATAACAACTGTTATGAAAACACCTATCTGTCATGTCCGTTGTAAATATTTTTCTTATTTTTTACTATTCCTAATCATTTCATAGCATCCAATTAAATTTAGGTTGCTCGTTACACCATGATTCTTCTGGGAAACAATTCTCCGAAGAGCATTTTTCTGTGGAGCAGTTTTTTGAGGAGCATTGTTCTTTTGCTTCGTCACTTTGTTAACGAACACATGCTTCGAACGTTTTTTAAGTCTTGGAACTATCTGGGTTTGATCCTCGGTGAAGATTGCTTGGAGAAAACGTTGAGGAGGAAGCTCATCAAACTTCATAGCGGCGAATCGAAAATGAGACTTTATCTTCTCACCAAGTCTAGGATGAACGGCACCTGCACAATTTCTGGCATGCTCAAATGGGTCTTGGACACATAATGGCCCATCAACATTCAAAGGTTTCTTGCATAAGTTGTGTGATATATTGTATTTGTACAATGCAAATTCTGGGGGAATTTCATTAAAATTTTTGAATGTTTTCCTACTTAGTAAACGTCCCATATAAGGTGAAATTATGGTTTCATCAAAATTCATACTGGCATAACACTTAAAAAATCCTCCTAAGAGATCATAGAGAGAGTCATTAATTCGATTATAGGACACACTTCTGTCAAATCCTGTATTCCAGTTATTTACCATACAGGAGCCTGGAGGCACTACTTTCTGTAAATCATAAATAGACGGTAGCATATTCATTAATTGTAAATAGAATATGACCATGAGGGTTAGAGCATAACTGGCCAGTAAGTTCGTTCCAGTGAACTTGTTAACTTTGGACCAATATTTAACTAAAACTGCCAGTTGTAAGGCTCGATCACTTGTATCCATTTGTAACAGATAACTTATTAATTCACTGTTGTATACTCCTGCAGGGCTGGTAAAGTTAATATCACAGAAGCAGTTTGTCGGTACATGTAGAAACTTCACAATGGGTACTGTGGCGTTTATAATGGCAAAGGGATTGCCGAATTTTAAATAGTGTCGCCTGAGAATGTTCCTAGCGCGCATAACATGCCTATCGTTTGGTTTCATCCCGTGTGGTAGTTCTATGAAGCAGTCTACATCACTGGTTCTTATCCCCAGACCAGTGACTATTGAGCCAAATGGATGGACTTGTAGACCTGTAACAAATTTGAAATAATAATATTTCGGACATCTAAGACACAACGCCATCTAGTTTCAAACTAAGCAGAGCTTGCATTATGAAAGCTAGATTGACTTATAGAATCATCATTATCATCAACAGCCATACTATTCCACTGCTGGACATAGGCCTCTCCTTAAAAAGGAGGGATTGGCCTACTATACCACGCTGGCCAGACGGGTTGGTATAGGATTTGTTTCAAGTTTTCCTTCTCTTTGTCCTGTTGTCCTGCGTAGTTTGTTCCCTTAGTCGCCTCTTATTCCGTATTCTTAATCCGTCACCACACAGACTTATAGAATATTTATTTTTTTGTAAATATATATTATACATAGGAAACGACCCAACCCCGAAACAAATATTTGCAGATCATACAAACTATATATGATCAATGGTACGACCCGGGAATCGAACCCAAGACCTCAGCACAGCAGTCGCATATGCTACTACTGCACCACCGGCAGCCATCAAATTAAAATAATGTAATACAGTTGGCAAGTTGGATTTACTGAGTAGGGTTGCACTATATTCGACTATATTCGATTCACTTCTTCGTAAAACTACGCCTAATTGCCAAGCATTCAAGCGCCAATTGCTACAACTGTAATCTTTCTTAAAAATAGACTTATCAATTCATGTATAAAAATAATTGAATACTCCCAAAATTACCTATTGGCTGAAAATGTATTAGACTAATGCCATATGGATTTGAACATCCAAAAGTTAGCAGTGAACACAATCCTATTGTAATGTCCATTTGTGCTGTACTCTGAATGTTCTCTGAGTACTTTCTGTGTACACAGTACACATACTATGAAATGTAAAATTTTACCCTTATTACAAAAGGGCCAAGCTAGGGGCACTAGTTAAAGCACAGAAGCCCCTCAAGGCACTTACAGACTTCTAAGAGTGACTTGTCTAGCACGAGGATTACTTGTTGTGTAACCACTCCATCGCAAGATAGGAACTTGTTAGTAGTGAATCACATGCTAGTTCCTAAATCTTTTCAGATACTGAAGGGGTTAAATTATGAGATTATAAGACTTGAGTCAGCACCGGTTGGACTGTTTGCAATTAGTAAGGTGCCTAGGCATTTGCCTTTACATGTTCATTGCCTTATTAAAGATCAATATTAGGTCAAGATCCGTGTGGTGACGGATTAAGAATAGAAAAGTGTCACCATCCCTATTCATCCCGTGGGTGTCGTAAGAGCCGACTAAGGGAAAAAACTATGCAGAACAACAGCATTACTGAGAGAAAGAAAACTTGACACAAACCCTCTACCAACCCATCAGCATAGTAGGCCAAAACCTCCTTTCTAGGGAGAGGCTTATGTTCAGCAGTGGACTATTAAAGGCTGTTGATGTGATGATGTGATGTGATGATTAGGTCAAAGACCAATTCAGTGAATAGTTCTCCTGTTCAATGTTATTCTTATAGTGAAGAGAGGGTTTCTCTTTGGTGATTACCACCGACTTAGTTCCAATACCATTGTGTTTAAATATACATATTAAAGTTTCCTCATTTGTGTGTATCAAAATGTTAATTCATGTGAATAAAGGTAATACAATAACTTGAGACAACTTACACATGGCAGTAATTACTTGAAGAATATAAGTTATAAATTATACCCAGATTAAGAATGGATTAAGAATATGGAGTGTCAACATCCCTATTCATCCCATGGCTGCCGTAAATGCTGACTAAGGGAGCAAACTATGCAGGACAACAGCATTGTAAAAGAAGGAAAACTTGACACAAACCCTACACCAAGCAGTCTTGCATGGTATAGTAAGCCAGAACCTCCTTTTTAAGAAGGCTACTAAAGGCTGTTAATGTGATGAAAAAACAAGTCATGCTCATTACACAATAATTTGTTCAGGATGGGAATCAACCCCCTGACTCAGAGTTGTCACCTGATATAAAGGAGAATGAGTTACAGATGCATTGCCAGCCTCTGTGTGTGTGTCCAGGATTTGAGGAACAAACAACTCCAAGGAATGCAACAAAATATTCAATATAGTACAATCTATAAACTAACTTTAATAGTTTCACTTTCAATAATTAATTAACGTAATTTACGCGTAATTTACGTTTTCACGCTGCTCACTACTACACTGAGTGTTGTGGGTCCGATCCCCACATAGGACGACACTTTGTGTGATTCACAAATTGTTGTTCTGAGTCTGGGTGTTCTTTGTGTGCGTTTCATGTATGTTTGTAAAATCCCCTGCGACACAGGATTTACTCATAGTGCGGAAGTTGTCAAAAAAAACAAACAAACATTTATTTACATACAAGTATGTTTATCAGCAGGATTGCCATAGTACAGGCTTTGCCTAGTTTGGAATCAGACAGCAGTGTGTGAGATGTATGAGGTTATCAAAACAAAAAGTTTCAAAGAATATAAATGATTGTGTTGCACTAGCATACATAAAACATCATTCAGACTGAGACACAGACTGTAGCCATATTTAGTCTGTGTCAATGTACATGGTAATGATTTTATTGTACACTGGCTTTCAAAAGTTTTATTTTCAGTTCCTTACCTGGAGCTAAATCTTGTAATGCTAATTCTAAATCTACAAATAAGTTTCGCAGATTGCGGACCTCTGTGGCTGTCATTCTAACATGGCTCAATACATTCTTTACTTGTGTATTAAAGTCGCCTTCATAACATAGCCTTGAGGAGTCCATTATATCACCTGCAAAAGCGGCAAAAGAACAAATTTTAGTTATACATTTTCTTTTTTATTTGCATTTGCATTGGCGAAAAGACCAACATTAGCATAATATCCCTGTAATAATAAGCATCAAACTTACTTGTTGTATTCATTAATACAATGTAACAATGATAACGAATAATTAAATAAATGCTTGTTTTGTTTGGTAAAGAAAGCACCCTTCACTTTTCGTTAGCACGTTCTGTCAATCTGTGATCTGTCATTTCCAGTGTTGCCGTTAAACAATAATAAAAGTCGCTAGCTGGTTTCTAAAATCCCTCTAGATTAGAAAAAACCGTTCCCCTAAAATCTTGTCCTGAATATAGAACCATAACACAACTTTTTGATTTTATAAATATATATGCACTTTAATGCGGTATAATTCACATCCTAATGTAAATGACTGTAGTACTGTAGAGACATGGGCGTCGAAATTCAAAATTTCGACGCCCATCTTCGCACGCAAATTTGATGTCAAGTTACTTTTTGATTCTCACGTCGAAAACATCATAAGTAGAGCCTCAAAGTCCTCATTTTTATTCTAAACCTTTCTGCGGATTTTAAACACACACAGCCACTTAGAAATTGAGTCTTAGATCTGGAACACGATCTATAACATATACATAGATAGAATCGAGAGCATACAGAAGCGGTTTTTCCGACTTTTACAACATAAAACCTGTTATTACACTGTCCGATGTAAATAGTTTAACATTTTACCCCTGCATGAGTATAGACATATTGCAGACATAACAATATCTAAAATCGCCAATGGTTCAGTTAAGTGCCAGGAGTTGTTGTGCTAATGGCATCCTAGTGTTTAAATCGATCTATATGAAAACCCAAAAAATCCGAAGAAGTCGCCAATCGGAAAATCGTAAATAACTTCGCATTTAACCACCAATACATATCTGCAGTCGTGCTGTCCGGCAATATACAAAGCAAAGATACACTTAGCTCTTTCTGAAGGCTTACAAATCTTCCCTGTCCTGTAAATATTATATAAATTGGCTTATTTTTTTAAATTAATTCACTTTTAGCTTTATGTTTTTTTATTTCTAATTTATTAATTTTATTTCTAAATCATTCAGTTTTGTATAAATTTCTGAGTGGCAATAGTTACAAAATGCTTTCGTGGAGTCACCTGGTACAGGTTTTAATAAATATTTGAACTAATCGGAATTTTCAAATTCTTTTCTGTTTTTTGACTGTATATACCTTTTTTTTTAACGGAGCTTCTATGATTCTTCAATTTCAACCGATACAATAAGAAATTATGATATTAACTTTCAACTATGACAACGAAACTTTAATAGACGCAACGAAATGGTTTTATTTTTTCATAAAAGTGTACTAACATAATTTTTGCATTCTCATTCACTCTTGTTAGCGGTAAGCGGGACAAATAATGGTCTATGGTGGGGGAATTCCCGTTTTGCAATAAATTAGGTTAAACCGAATTGCCAACTTAGAAAACTAAAAAGGCACGATTGTGTTGTGTTTTGAGATTAGAAGTCTTTAAATACTATTTTAAGCTTCAAAATAAGGTGGACTAAGCGTCATTTTGAATAGCCTCAAAGTCCCCAAAAGTCACTAAAAATAATTTAACCGCTAAAACCAAAAAAAAACTTGCTAAAAAATCCCCTAGATCAAGGGGTCGCTAGAACGGTAGCACTAGTCATTTCACTGACGTCAATGAAAAAAGTTGCCAGTTCTGTAAAAAAAAAACGGTTTTGTAATAAATAATATTTAACAATGTTACAAAAATCGTAATTAAATATACTAATATAATTTAAAATGCATAGCTAAGCACAAATTTTCACTAGAGAATAAATAGTTACGTCTTAATAATAGTTAAATAACTTCGCGTGTATAAAATATGTTATCCCTACGTCGTCACGCCCAGCGCCATCTAACCTAGTATTTAGTAAAGTATTTAGTAGTATTTAGTATTTAGTAAACCAAAATAAGCCTAAGCTTATTTTGGTTTCATAGTTTTATATAAACTAAAGAATCCAGACATTCTAAATCAAAATACGCCTTTCAGTTTAGAGAGTTTAGAACAAAAGTACCACCAATATAAATATGGAATCCTTACTTAAAATCATTTATTTAACTAGTTTTATTTCTATGCTTGGTATCCATACTATACTAATATTATAAATGAGAAAGTGTATCTGTCTGTCTGTCTCACTGAATGTCTGTCTGTCTGTCTGTGAATCGATTTAGATGAAATTTGGTATATAGTTTAAGTCCCAGGAAAGGACTTGGTATAGCTTTTATCCTAGAAATTAAACGTTAAGGGAGTGAAAGTTTGAATGGGGAATCAATAACCGTTTAACCGATTATGATGAAGTTTAGTATGGAGATAGATTGATTCTTGAGGAAGGATAGGCATACACGTGGGTGGAGCCGCGGGTAAAAGCTAGTTTACTAAAAATTCTTGATTATTGATATACATAGTCCTATTATTACACTATTTCTATAAACGAAATGAAACGAAACGAAATGAAACAAATCTCAGTTTTCAATTAATTCACAAACATTACAATACCATTACAAGCAGGTACAGAGTGGCATGCATATTATTTATTTGAAATACATACAAATTGCTGTCTAAACAGAATCAAAAGCAGTACAGGAAAGAATCTAAAGAAGCCTTCTGTGAAGCCAGAAGATTTAATTAAAGGGAATAATTCATTACCCACAACCATGTCGAAACTTTTCATATACTCACGCCTTTACACCCGTAGCGAAAAACCCGTATAAAAAAAGCCGTGTGGTGTCGTGGGACACCCGATAGGAGCGAAGTTGTAACGATCGAGTAAAACTGATTCGACACGATTTTAATTACAACGCCACCTATGAAAGCGGCTATTACCTACATATTTTTCAGTTGGTTTCTAATTAAAACAATTTATACATTGGTAAAATTTCCTTGAGAAATGATATCGAATACAATATTTTTTGCTCAACCTAACAACATAAATTTTAATTTTACTGAGATGTATGTGTATGAAAAGTAATGATTTCCTATCTATTCGATAGATGGCGCTGAATGACTGACAAGTGATAATTCAAAATAAAAAAGTGTCGTTACAACTTTTCGTGAGATTTTTTTCCGTCTAGCCCCCTTTCACAACGCGCGATAAGGAACTTCGTTCCAAAACGTCCACATTTTACTATCTATAATTCTAACCCCAATTAATGTCAACGTCGTCCGCCGCCTGCCGGACATGTTATGGATAGATGGGAAAATTGGGAGTTTGTTTAAAACAAATCGAGACAAGAAGGAAAAGCGTACGGAGTTTACACCGAGCGATCTATAGGGAATTTAATTATTGGCTTGAGTAGATCGGCGTATTTTCATTTTTATTTATTGCAGCACGGGATCCTTTCTTCCGGCTGACGCAGGTCTTTTCTGGGCACGGCTGCTTCGTGAAGTACCTGCACTCGGTTGCTAGGAGGGAATCGAGTCCCGCCTGTCTCCAATGCGATTGTAGTGAGGACTTGACTCAGCACATGCTGGTAATTTGCCCGGCTTGGGCCGGACGTAGCAGCGCCAGGTCCTCATTGCAATCATCGGAGGGGACCTCTCGCTACCGACCGTCATACGTCCACGTGTGCCGGACATCGCCTATATAGAGAATGAACCCGAAGGTGGTGCCGGTGGTTGTGGGCAGGCGCTAGGAGCCTTAATAAAAGCAGTTCCCGGATCCCTCCTATTACACACCGGCACACCGGTTGGTTTGGCACGAGGGCTTTCCATACGTAAAAAAAAAACGGGTCGTATGTTTCTTGCGCTTTGTCGTCTTAATTACTGTGCCGATTATCATGAAATTCTCAATTTTTTTGTTGGGAAACAGAAAAAGATGCAGGTATAGTAGTATATTTCCTTTTTCCTTTTGTATACACGAATGAAGCTATGCACTTGATGAAGAACAATATTCCCAATGGCCTCTACTCGATGTAGTTTAACGATATTTGAAAATCTCAGTAGTCATTAAGCAAATGATTCGATTGTCGTCTATGTATCGATTAGTGTCTAATTTCACTAAAAATAATTATTTGTAAATAACAGCTTATCATCTGGGTAAACCAATTTAGTGAACTGGGGTTATATATAGGTCACGTAACTGATAAACTTTAATTTTTCTGTAGTCATGTAAGAGACGTTACAGTTAATAAATGATTTATGTTTTTCTCCCTTTTGTTTTCTGGGAAACTGAGAGATCTCCTAATCCAAAGGTTTCTGTCTACAGCTTAGCGTAGATTCTGATAGTCAGAAAGCTGTATATTTGCATGGGCGTACATATTAAACACATCCACAAAGTAGTAGATTAAAATATTTAAAGTAAGGTCTGTAGAGTACTTCTCCTACATTACACGGTTTTGGTGGCGAAATTTTGCCCCAAATAGTCCGACATCTACTTGGCTGGATCTTTTGAGCAAATAAAGTTTTGGTCGTTGTTCATAAACTACAAAAAAGTAACTAAAATAATAACTATTAATCGATTTCTTCAAATAAATAAGCAAACTTAATTCTAATTTTATTGTTTTTGCAAAATATGTAAACATGCTCTTATGTGAAGACTATGTAATATAAGATAATGGCAGTCATTACTTACGAGCACTCGTAGAACAGACATTCAGACCTAATAAACAATTTCGTTATTGATATTTTATCAGTGACATAGGGTCAACCAGATCACTTTAACATATGTATATAAATTTCATAGTCACTTCACTCGTAACAGTCAAACTGAATTAACATGGCCGCTCTGAAGTTATTTTTTTTTGCCGCGTTATGTACGTCGGCTTTTGCAACAGTCATCAATATCCGGCCTTGTGAGGAAGGTATGTGTATTGCAATTAAATTTTAAAAGAAAGTCTGAACGAATTCGTTCTTGTGTATGGCACGTTTGCCGCGCCCAAGGATTCCCAAGTATCGCCATTAAATGTGTACAAAAATTTCGAAATAAGGCTGGTTGTCCGAGAAATTAATGCTACTAAGTTTCTCAATTCTATTGCATTTTTATTGTTACATTTGTTATCTCCGAACTTCGTCATTAATGAAAGCATTTCAAAAAATATATTTTATTTTCTGAATGGTCTTATTCAAATTTGAAGAAAAAAATACAGTTTACTAATTAGAAATTCAAACGTCTGATTCTAACACTTAAATACGAAGTGTCACCGCCCCAATTCGGTCGTAAAAACCGACTAAGGGAGCAAACTACGCAGGACAATAGCACTGGGCCTCAATTCTGCTATTTTAATATTGTAACATATCACTAGACTGTCGATGAAATGTCATCGGAATAGTTCTGCACTTTTCCTAATCTACTAACTACGAGTATGTAAGACCAATGGCCTCCCGATAACTTGTCACTGATATAAATGTCATCGATGTCTTTGTAATAGTTTGGTAAACGGTACATTTTAAATTTGTTAGAAAATGATATATTTAATTTTCCAGGTATTGTGATGTTGTTGATATCGCCATTGATGACCTATAGGTATTATTATTTCGACAGTCTATTGACACTGCGAGTTTATGTTGGTAGAATACTGATATTTTGACCGATGTCAATAGCGTCTCAATAGTGTGTCAATGGAATGACAGTGGCTTGGCGTTAACATAAAATAGCAGAATTGAGGCCCTGTAAAGAGAAGGAAAACTTGACGCAAACTCTTTACCAACCGAACCCGTCTGACCAGCGTGGTATAGTAGGCCAAAACCGCCTTTCTAAGAAGAGAATTATGTCCAGGAGTGGACTTAGAGGTTGTTGTTGATTGATGATGATGATGTTAATCGTGTCAAAAGATGAATCGGTGCAGAACTTTTTGCATTTTTAAAGCGTACACAAACCAACTTAACATTTTTATACAAACAGACTTTAAATAAACACTCGTGATGAAAGTAAAATTAAACTCAATAGTTTATCGTGACATGACGTCAGCAGTTATAACAAGTACAGAAGGTGTGACGCTGTTGACCACAGAGGTCGCAGTTATCACAGACATAGACAGTTTAAAAGTGTTATCACGTTACGGTTCAAACACCCGCATTTCATATACCTACCTACGGTCTTTTTTCTATCTTTTTTTATTAATTTCTTTTTTAAAAGACAACTCCCGCACGAGGAATAAATCCTGTGTCGCGGGGGACTTTACAAACATACATAAAACGGACACAAAGTTCACCCAGACTCAGAACAACAATTTGTGAATCACACAAAATGTCGTCCCATGTGGGGTTTGAACCCACAACACTCGGCGTAGTAGGAAGCGGCGTGACGACCGCTTAAACCACTACGCCATCCGTACAGTACGTACAATTGTACGTACAAGAGTCTACCTAGTACTTACGGTCATAGGAACGGGGCAAGAAGTTTCCAAATTAAATATTTTCTTCTACACGAAGGATGTCAATGCTCAATCAAATTTTATCTGGCCAGTATTTCTAAATAATTTCTAACATTAAACATTAGTTTAGAAAATTATGTTATCTTAGAATAAAATGAAATAGTTTTAAGTGCAATATTGTACTATTGTATAGGTCAGAAGTCAAATTATTGCTTAAGTCTTAATGAAATTATCGCAGATGCAGCGTCTAATTGTATGCTTATTATTATCAACCTAATATGGTTAATAACACGTCATTAAGACTAGTTAGAAAATTGCTGGCTCGATCGGAGTGATACCACGGCGAGACTCAGCTCCCACACCCTTACCCCCACCCTTATTCTGGGGAAGTTGTAGGTTATGGTGGTGGTTATCCTAAACTAGGTACAAGTTCTGCCTAGCTTATATATATTGTAATATTTTAACCAATAATAGAAAGCGTTTGTTACTCCAATTAAAATATATGCTTCTGTCTTTATTTCAGTTACCCAGGATGTCTGCACAGTGTCTGAAGCCCGCATTACTCCGTGCACAAATGTGAAGAGATGTACGGTTAAGAAGAACAACAATGTGGCAATCTCCTTTGACTTCACGCCGAGTAAGTTGATCGAATCAAATAACATGTCATTAAAAACCAAACTACCCACTATTTATTCACCCTAAACCTATATGACCAGTTGATGATGAGTTTTTGAACTCACAACTACACAAACAACCTTAACATTTTTATATATTTAGATAATATTCAATTTTTAGTTAGTTTCTTAACCAACCAGCGACTGAGCTCGATACCATTACCATAATTAAGTATATCAAGAGTATATACAAAGAGAGGTATGTATGGGTCTGTCTCAAAGGAACAGACCTTCGAGCCGGATCTGAACTGGAAACCACTACGTTCTACTCTAGTCTCTAGCCGTATTTGCCAATCAGATTATGGTGGGAGAATCAAGCTTTAGGCGAAATGTTTGTATCAAAAGTATCTGCAATGTAAGCCACTATTCGTTTTTGGTAATCATTCTCGCATGTCACAAGCTTGCTTATAATACCTCAATCTAAAGGTATACTAGGCTAGACTGAGCTGAGTGATACCTGGGCCTCACAGAAAACCGGTCTTAAACCATTCTTTCTTTGCTTTTCGCCGATTGAGTGAAGTTCCCAGAGTCCTAAACCCACCTTCTGCCTAGTTTTGGGAGCAAGGACTCAAAGGTCGGCAACGCATTTGTAACTCTTAGCTGTAGGTGCATATAGGCGAGGGAAGTCACACACCATCAGGTGAAGACGGGTCACCAGATGGTGTGTGACTCATTTGGTCCCTATACCTTCTAAAAATATTCAGAAAGTAGCCACAATCGTAACAACAACTGTCACGAGAATGACCATAGCTTTCAAATTACGTAACTTTAAAAGCTACCTTCCTACCTGGACGTAGATGTCAAAATCTAGTGAATGTGATACATAATGACTCAAAATGAAATTTCCAGACTTCAGCATATCAAAGGCCAAAACCATGGTTTACGCGCTCATCGGAAATGATTATAAACTCTTTGCTGGCTTTGGTTCTGACGACGCCTGCACGTACACCAGCTGTCCTTTCGAAGCCGGAAACACCCAGACCTTAAATTACAACATGTACCTGAATCCAAAAACGCCAAAAGTAAGTCACAATATGACATGAGTCTCTTATTAAATCAAGGCTTAGAATATAATAATATATTTTGTGATTAATGTATGACCTTCAAACCTTCGAAAAAGAGAGTACGTACCGAAAGAGAGTAACTTAAAGGTCGACAAGGCGCTTGTGACTCCTGAGTCGCATGCGTTCATGGGCTGCTTTAGTACTCACCATCCGGTGGCTATCTACTCGTTTGTGTGTCATGTCATTAAAAAATGGTATATGACTTATTTTACCGCTTAAACCACTACGCCACCCGTGCAGTACAAATCAAGAGTCACTAATTAACTGTCTGTTGTAACATCACTACCTTAGTAAGTATGTCGCATCACTGAGGCATATAGCAGGATGCACATACTCGGGCAATTATTGCTCTGCTGTCCGCCACACTGTCTAGTACAAATATTTGATACGCTGATTATTTAATACATTACTGTAAAGTCATTCTCATTAAAACACGTCCTCACCTCATACAAGAATACAATTTGGTGTCAGAAGTGGGATACGAACCCACGTCCTCGTAGAGGCCTCATAAAAATTATAAGTTTAAGAAATCAGTGCTCCAACTTTTTTTAACATTTTAACATTTTTCGTAGTGTGCGTTAGTGATGTGGTTAATTAATGACTTTTTTTATTTGTTACCAGGGTTCTTATGATCTGCAATGGAAAGTGTGGAATGAAGAGAACGACAAAGAAATTTGCTGTTTCAAATTTCCTCTACGTATTAGATAAAAAATATTAAGTAAATGACAACATATATCATAATACATTTGTATATTTACCCTTTACTTTTATTAATATGACCCTACATTTTATGTTTTAGGACTTAAATAATTTTAGTTTTGTTAGTGTTACGCCGACATAGTCACCAAGTTTGTAATTTCTTTACCTTAATTTATCTTGTTCCCAAGGTCATTACAGTTGGCATCAGGCCATGGCCTTAAAAAACACCAGAACTCTTTGCGATGCTACACATCAACAACCTATAACAGCCCACTGCTGGACATAGACCTCTCCTTAGAAAGGAGGTTTTGGCCTACTTTACCACGCTTGCCAGTCAGGTTGGTATAGGGTTTGTGTCAAGTTTTCCTTCTCTTTGCAGTTCTGTTGTCTTTTAGTTTGGTCCCTCAGTCGGATCTTACGACACCCACGGGATGAATAGTTTTGTCTTACCCAATATGATATGTAAAAGCTTGCATAGCATTAATATAAGTACTTTACTCTGTAACATCTGTGACTCATGCAGCTTTTTAAATCAACACATAGACTTTAATTATTACAAAAAACTGATTTCGGCACTCGTTGTCTATCACCCTATGTATATTTATTGTGTAATTTTTGTTTTAAATGACTGTTTGTGCCAAAATAAATGGAAAAAAAAACTCAATTGCTGATACTGAACATACTAACTTATACATTAGGAAATACATACATGTTAGAAGGAAATTACACCCTTTTATTATTATTATTTTTTTCCTGTAAAGAAATTTCCTCGGTTACCACTCAACGGTCGAATGATTATGTCGGACTCAAAACGAAAGAAAGGAAATCCTTGTCCCCCGACGTATCTCAGGCCAGCTACGGCGTGTAGATGACCCTCTCCTGTGTGTAAACCCCTATGTCCCCTTTGTGCTCCGGAAAAGGCGTGCGTGCTCTCACCTCGTTACCACACCACCCCCAGGTCTGCGCTTATGGAGGACGGAGATCGTTCTGCGATCTCTGGCGCCTGAGTCGTCTGCGGTACTAGGCCCGAGCGCCGTGTCCACGGTCCGGCCATCGCAGTGGTGGCACTCAGGCGTTGGCTCCTTGCGAATCAGACACAGGTGATCTGCGAAGCACCCTTTCCCGGTGATCACCTGCGTCAACCGGTATGAGAGGGTTCCGTGAAGCATCTCGAGCCAATTCTCCATAACGGGTCTCACCGCCGTGGCAACGGCGTGCCCAGCGATTGGTAGCCCAAAACGCTCCTGCCACTCCTCCACAAAGACCTGCGGAGTTGGGATTTCTGGTCTTCGATTTCTCGAGTCCCAGGACTTCAACCCAAGTCCCGACGCGTGACGCCACTAATACAGAGCCGCAAGGGCTCTCGCCTCCGGGTCCCACGGTGGAGTTCCTGCCAGAAGACTTGCTGCCTCAAAAGGATCCCCCCCTCGTGCGGTACCCCTTATGACTCTGATAGCCAGCATTCGCTGTGGTCGTCGCAGTAGCGCGACGTTGCTGGTCTTTAGGGCCCTCATCCATACTTGATAGAGTACAGTCTCCTGCAGGAATGATGTCCGAACTCCCATCGGCCATCGAGTACGAGCCCTAGATATCTCATCGAGGGCTCGATGCCGATGCAAGTGCCTCCTACTATAAGGCTGCATCCCTCCGACGACTTCCTCCGAGGCCCATGAGTTTTGTGAAGCTGAAGTAAACTATCAGTAGGTAATATATGTATTTGCATTCTAATTTAGGCAGATAGATTGCAGTATCTTAGCGGATAAGTAAGTAGTAACTTAGCAGTAGTAAGGGGGGCACTGAAAATCAGTACTGATGTGGCATCTATCCACCACAGTGTACACTGAGGGTCCACCTATTTTCTGAAACACGGCGTACAACCCTCAGATACATTAAAGGTTTTATTAGTCGATAAGATAAGTATTAGTCGAAAAGTAATAGTTATTAAGAGTAACATTTCATAGACGCATGGTTGGATACGTGGCACATTGACGTGTCATGTCAATTCTGTCAGGTATTAAAGATTGACGTATTGAAAAATGTTGCCCTATTAACGTGTTTATCAAACTTCACTTAATTTTTAGTTTCTTTGTGTATGTTGTTTTTTCACCTTTTGTTTAATTTTAGAATGCTGTGTTTTATGAAATAAATAGAAATCAATATAAAACCAATGCGCACATAATTTACATACATTCTGTACATTTAAAACATAATCTTAAAATTAATCAGTAATCATATTTTATTTGCATGAGTACACATTTGGACAGTATAAAATACATTATTCAATTCTTCAAACTTCTCAAACTTTAAATAAAATCATGTTAAAAATGCTGAGGCAAATATGGTTATCTATGGAATAACACTTAAAAAATAATATTACTAAAAACATTAATTAGGATAATTATGTTAAAAAAAATATATATTTAAAATTCTCACAAAATATTATCACAGTTATGTAGGTACAGTTTATGTATGTCTACATTTAGAAAGGTACAAAAGTGGAACCCTTTTCTATAAAAAATAGAAAAAAAAAACACAGTAAACTGAATACATAGTGTATTCAGTTTACTGTGTTTTTTTTTAAGTTTGTTTATTCACCGATTGTGTATAGTGCGCGTCCGTTACCTTTTCTACTCCAGCTTTAAACTCGTGGAAAATAGTGTGGGTTACACGTTTTAGATATTTAAATTCTAAATTACTTGTAAAGACTGTAATGTATTACTGTTTTTGTCCCAAATAAATAAAAAATAAAATAATGGTACCTGTTACATTGAGGGTATTATTGTGGTTATTTCAATTGGATTTGTAATTATTTTTTGGTTTAAATCATGTATTCTCAAAAAGACAATACAAAAGCCACCTGCATGAGAACACAAAATAACATTTTTGTTAAATTATTAAGTACCGGTCACCGAAACAATAACTAAAATACATAGATTAACTGAGCTATGACAATAAAGACTCAATATTGTAGTTAAAAAGTAAAGTCATCTACACAATAAAATTAAACACTATATGAAAACAAAAAAAAATACAGATACAAATTAATACAAATTAATTTGTATCTGTATTTTTTTTCAAATGTACTAAAATCTACCTAAATCTAAATCTTTATCACAAGTAAAAATAAAAAATCAAACACTTACAACATCATTGCGCTCAACACTTTTATTCTCACCCAGAATTTTAATTTTTAGTGCTCTTGGTTAGTATTGTTTAAAGTCGGATTAACTTTTTTTCAAAGCATTTATTTTACAATTTTTAGTGTAAGATACGTTTGTAATGTGAAGAAACATAATAATATAGCTATGATGGACCCGGCACCTGCACGGGAAATCCATTGAACGCTAAGAAATAGGTATTTTTAAAACGTACAATACAATAGTACGTAATCTATAATATTTATATTACCAACCTGTAGTATGTTATATAATAATATATTAGTAAAATAATAAAGCCATTTATTCCCAGAATAATATTGCAAAATAAACTTAAAATACATAGAATCATAATTTAACTTTACATGCATAATTTTAGCAACAATAATCTCTACAAATAAATAAAATTGGAGTGTCTGTTTGTAATATTAAAATAACCGCTTTTTACTAAATGCATATGTATGTTTACACGGTACAAATGCCAAAATAACATTTTTTTCAATTTTTGTCTGTCTGTCTGTCTGTCTATTTGTTCCGGGTTATCTCTGGAACGGCTGGACCGATTTCGACGGGACTTTCACTGGCAGATAGCTGACATAAGGAGTAACTTAGGCTACTTTTTTTAGACTAGCTTCGCCCCGCGGCGTTGCCCGAGGTTATAACAACAAACGCGGGTAACACCGCGGGTCTCAGCTAGTTAATATTTATAATTAATATCAACATCTACTCGTATTCACTATTAATAAACATTGAATACCATTACTTATTTAAATACATGTATTAGTTCCGATATTGATTTGTCTATTTATAACTATTAATATGTATTTACAAATCGACATTCAATATGAGAGTAGAGTCTTCATTTGTATATTTAATATTTAATTTAATATTTATCTAGATTTACGTATAAATTATAAACAATATAATTTAACATTATGAAAATAGTATAATATTATGTAGTATGTATGTTAGATTATATTAAATTTGAACTCAAAAATATATTGTTTTTCACATTACTTAATTTTCCTCCATTAGAAGTGTCATTTTTTCTTCACATTTAGATGGAACCAAAAGGGAAATGTACAATTCCAAATAAAAAAAAAGTTTCCTAATCGGTTTACAAATGAAAGAGTTTTGAGGTTACAAACATGAAAAATATTACGTTAGAATCACTTTTTTATGTCTAAGTGTTTTGTAATCTCATTTATTACTTTTTTGTGCACATATCTCTGTAACCCAGCACAAACACATAACAAACGAAAGAAAGAAAGAATAAAACAAGGTCAATACATGATTATGTTATTAAAAGAGTTATCCTCTAACTCCTAAAGGACAAGGACCCTTCCATCATCAGCGCACCAACATGAGACAACGACTACCAAACCCAAATAAAACTAAAACACGTAGTCGGGGCTATAAAATTTGAGGGTTTCCCTCGAATTCTCATGGATCCCATCGTCCGATTCTGATTTGGTGGTAATGGGACCAGCTCGGGAGTATACCCTTTCGATTATAAAAAAGACGTGTGGCACTCGGGGACTGCCGCGGTAAAGTTATTGCATAGCATTTTGTATCAACTTATGCAATTATAATTATTTATTTATTTTATTTATGCAGTATTTCTTTGATATTAATTCAAGTTACACTTTTTGAGCGTGGTGACCGATAAGAAAACATTTTTTTTTCTTTTATTAAATAAAAATATTGAAGCATATATTACAATTTGTTTTCAAATAAATAAAAAAAAATATTATTATTAAATCAAATTACATATCCATGTAAGATTTTTCTGCATCATGTTGACGAAATTTCCTTAGACGTTCAGCATTTGATTTTGGTACTGTTTTTTGTTTTGTTTTTAGCGTGAGGTTTTTTTTCGTTACGGAATTTCTGGATTCGGTCCCCGCGCTCAAAGCCCTCGATAGAAGCTATGCAATAGCTTAAAAATAATTAAATATCGGTGAACAATTGAGCGAGATATCACGTTACAAACACATAAAAAAAAGAATACAGTCGAATTGAGAACCTCCTCTTTTGTGTTTTTAAATCGGTAAATAATAAAAGCGCGTTAAAAAATTATATGAAAATAATCAATTTTTTCACTATCACTCAAGGCAAAATTTTAAATGGATGTTTTTATCATAACAAGCACAAAGGTCAACTATTTGGATATCAAATTTATTTGAGAGAAATTAAACACCAATGGTTACAAATCCATCGCTCTTTAATCGTATAGAAAAACTCTAACCCTACCTAGCCCCAAAATACATAGAAAATACATAAATTATTACAATTTGTTACATCCAAATTAAAACAAACAGCCGCTCATGAATAGAATACTTAAATAAAGAACAAATGTTAATACAGACAAAAGGACCATATTCCCATTTATTATCGGTAATGGCTTCAATACAAACAGAGAGTTTATCAATAACAAGTATAATGTTCAGTTGTTGGCTAAAATCAAAAGAATGAGGTGCGCTGTTTTGTTCGCGTTGATACATTTTGTTGTGGCAGATCCTAAATATATCACTCGGAAACTTTGTAAAGATGGTACGTAGTTATTAGATACTTATTAAACGATGTTGAGATTAAAAAATATAATTAAGTATTTTAGTTTATCAATGGAAAGCTTAAATTTAAAATGCTCTTGAAATTTGCCGATTTCTAATTATTGTCAGTTAAATTATATTATTTCGACCTCATTTAACTGCCGTCCTCTGGCAGAAGTTTTGTTTTTTTGGTGATAGATCTCCTACCTAGTCATTGAATGACAAAATTGTTTTAGAGGTTTTAAAAATAATAATATTCTGTGACTTAGGACTTTGATCTCTGTCAATGTTGATAAGTATGACATACATTCGTAAATAAATTGAACAGAAAACAGAAGAAATTAACGAAAACCAAATCGGGCTATAATTAACAAAGTTCAATCTTAACTGCCCCAGACGCACTGTCTGTTCTATATCCTGCATCCTGATAGCGCATTTCATAATGGTTTACCATAGTTCTTAATTTATAGCGATGTATTAAAAGTAAAACTACGAAAAAACCGTGCGCCGAGGGTTCCGTACATACCCAGATTTTACGTAGATTTTCGCGAGAATTTATCTTAACTTTCAACTTTTTTTATTTCTTTTAATTATTCCTTTATTTGTGCTGTAAGACATTTCTTTTTGCTAAATTTCGTGATTCTAGGTCAACGGGAACTACCATAATATAGGTTTTCGACCCAAAACCTATAGGGTACTTCCGGTTGACCTAGAATTGTAAATTTTTGGTCAAAGCAAGATCTTACAGCACAAGTAAAGAGAAAATTTTGAAAAATAAAAAAAGTTGAAAATTAAGGTAAATTTTGGTACTTACAAGTCTTCGCGAAAATCGAAATTTGCCCATATCTTTTTATCGTGTTGACTCAGGACCTTGATTCTTTAAACACCTAATAGGGACCATAGACCTCAGTATCTGACACACGGACAGACGGACATGAAAGTGATCTTATAATGGTTCCTTTTTACCTTTTGAGGTACGGAACCCTAAAAATCAACTCCCATGATCTGCACACTTCTCACCGTGCGTGCGTGTGTGGCATAACCAAATGAGTTTTTATTGGCCATTTTTATTTAACCTTTCAGTTATAGTAAAAACTTCAAGTCCTATTAGTTAATAAAACGAAGTAGTGAAACCATGGTTATTTTATTTAGTCTCCATTAGTTAAGTCTTGTTAGTACCTACTCTCAGCGTCCTTCTCGACAGACCGACTCCTGGTCTTTCGTCAAGTTTCGATTTTTGTCCCTTTTTTTATGTTAGAGGGGGTAGGCGAGTAGACGGGTCACCTGATGGAAAGTGACCATCGCCGTCCATGAACGTCTGCAACTCAGGAATCACAAACGCGTTGCCGGCCTTAACTAAAACGCATTCCCCATACCTATAAAAAAAAACAATTTTTCGACGAAAGTTATAGCTTCTTGCGAATGTGACTCTGTTACGCCAACATCATTTAACAACTCAACTCACTTGAGTACTTAAGACGTGAAAATTACCAGTACTATAGAATACTTTTTACCCAAGAAAGGATTATTTCTTGAGGAATAGCAAAGTACCTTATAACACAAAGGAAAGTACTGAAAGTACTAATTTTTTTTTCCATTATTACAGTTGACTCCAGCCAGTGTACAGTACACAGTGTGATAATAGACCCATGTGTCCAAGGCGTGGGCTTCTGTACTATGAAGATAAACAAGAATTATGCCGTTACTTTAGATGTGGTACCCCGTAAGTGTCTTCCAATGATATACAGAGAAATCTCGATATAACGACGACGATTAAAGGGTTTCTATATGAGTCTGTGATTGGCAACGTTGCATCCACGATTTATAAAGTGATCCTGACTGCTAAATTTGTGGTTTCGATTCCCACCCAGGACAAATATTGTGTGATGAGGATATGATCATTTCTTCTGTGTCTGAGAGTAATTTATCTATAATATGTATGTATTTAGAATTATTTAAATATGCTTATCAGTAATCTAGTAACTCTAACACAGGCTCTGCCTTGTTTGGGATCAGACTGCGGTGTCTGTTTGAGATGTGTGAAGTGTATTATTATTAGTTACTAAGTAAACTAAACTCCTGGAGCTATAGCAGACAAACAAAGCGAGCAAACCAGGAGCAAAAAAAGCTAGCGAGGAAATGCAAAAAAAAACCTGTCACAGTTCTATGAATACTTGAGTTACACAAATAAACTTTGTAGTTGATAAGAATGTCCGTGTAGTGACGGATTAAGAATACGGGATGTCACTGCCCCTATTCATCCCGTGGGTGTCGTAAGAGCCGACTTAGGGCGCAAAACTACGCAGGACACAGCACTGCAAAGAGAAGGAAAACTTGACACAAAACCTATACCAACCCGTCTGGCCAGCGTAGTATAGTAGGCCAAAACCTCCTTTCTAAGGAGAGGCCTGTGTCCAACAGTGGACTACTGAAGGTCGTTGATGTGATGATTGATGAAGAGTCAAGAGATGACAAAAATATTAGTTTTTAACCTATAGAAATAAAGCCATTCCTTGGTGAAGTTTTTGGAAATTACGTAGTAATAGTCTGAATGCCACACAAACCTATTTTCATTAATAACAACCTCAAAAACAAACTTCAACTTTATTATTAAAGTTTTTCTAGAATGTATAGACCTAGCAGCTGACTGAAGGGAGGTCCCCTCACTTTATTTAAGTGAACGAAAAAAAAACGAATTTAAAGGGAACCTCAGTTAGAACAAGTTATATAGAGAAAGAAAGCTGTGAATACATAAGAAGAAATGCCTAATGGCAAATACATACATCCATACCATTTCTTGTAAAACAAAATAAGGTAGAAACAATGGCTGGACGGATTCGAAATGGATTTCAAAATATTTTTAATCATTAAGAATAAAATCAACGTTTGTATGTTTGTCCTCTTTGTACGTTTTTATGATTGTGAATTGTGATGAAAGTTTGGCAGAGTGTTCAAGGAACACGCGCTAGGATGCCGGGCCCAAAACTGCATATTAATTTTTTATTTATTTATCTTTTCGTGATATTGCAATGCATGTTTGGACAGCTAGTATATGTATAAATTCCATTAACAGATAGATAATACTGTTAATCTCAGAAATTTTACATTGTGCTGACACTAGTACTCTCCTCCAGGTTTCTCTGCATCGAAGTTGAAGGTGTCTATAAAAGCCGATGTAAACAATAATGGTAACTTCACAACTACAATTAAAGTTCCTTCTGACGCCTGTGATATGATGTATTGTCCGCTACAATCTCAGGAGAGACGGATATTCGACGTCTACATGAACTTGGACAAAAAAGCATCGGTAAGTTATTATTTAAATAGGTATGTGTTACCCCGAAGCAAAAAGGTTTTTTTAGGACAATGGGGGACAATCGGGTAAAAGGTGAGTGTGACTTCTTAATAAATTCTCAACAAATATTAAATTTTAATTGCAGTTCAGTTTTATGTACATAGCTGTACTGACAGCTGTGTAAATTTTGTTTTAGTGCATACCTTTTCATAAACAACAATATATTTGAAATAATAACAATTAGTCTACATCCATATTGTTTATTACAATTAAAAATATAGCCAGAAAGTAATACTAAGTTTTTTGTGAAAAAAAAAACGTCCGATTGCGTGCTATCATCATCACATCACAACAGCCTTTAGCGGTCCACTGTTAGACATACACCTCTCCTTAGAAAGGAAATTTCGGCCTACAATGTTTAGGGAGACAGATTGGTACAAGGCTTGTGTCAAGTTTTCCTTCTCTTTGCGGTGCTGTTGTCCTACGTAGTTTGCTTACTTAGTCGCCTGTTACGACACATATAGATGGACAGAGGCAGTGACGGTCCATTCTTAATAGGTCAACACTCGAATCGACTGCGTGATAATGTGATAATTAAAAATTTGCAAACTGGCGATTCTAATTAAGTATTATAATTTTATTATACAGGGTGTAAGGGACATTGTATCGAATACTGAAATAGTGTATTTAGACCATGATTCTGAGTCGAAAATCATCGGAATTTTTGTTTAAAATTGATATTACAATGAGTAAACAGAACATTTCACCGAAAACAAATTAATAAATACCGCATACGGTCAAAAACTGCAATGTAATTAATCAAAAAGCCGAAGCGCACGGGGCCTCCCCTCCGGCCGCCAACTTGTGTTAGTTTGCGTAGACTGTTTGCACGGAATACACATGTAGTTATTACTTTTGTCAGATACCTTCGGGCAATGACCTTTACCTTTGACAGATTATTGCATAAAAAGTTTAATTTTCCGCCAGAAAATTCCAATGATTTTAGACAGGTCTGAATACACTATTTCAGTATTCGTTATGATGTCACTTACACCCTATATACCTAGTGTCACTATTAGAATTAAGACGAATCAAACGACAGACCTCAAACGACAAAGTCCATTACGCCGTTTAGATTAAGGAGCGTGATAAACAAATAAGTAAAACGTAATCTTCCTTCTGACGCAGTCGGGCAAATTACTGCCACCAATGAATGCCTGAAGAATAAATATCTGCTAAACTCTCTCAAGCAGTTTGCGCCTACATTTTTATCAGGCGCAACTATCTTTTCTTTAATAAACACACTATGTAGAGATTTTGTATCAAAATATTAGTAACAATAACATTTTTAAATTATTTATTTAAACTGACCAAGATATCTAAGATACTAAAAACGTGGGAGACATGTAAATCCACAGGCTTACGCTTCCCTGAGCGACTGAGCCTGGGGGAGGGAATTCATCAATGTGCTGAAACGCCCTTGTGGATCTTAAGTTGCAGGTGTCCATGGCGGTAGTCAGGTCAACCATCTGCTCGTTTGCCTTCTACACCATGAAAAAATGCTCGTGATTGTTTCCATGTGTTTCAGGGTAAATTCCCAGTCGAAGTGAAGCTCTGGAATGAAGACAACGAATCACAGGCATGCTGCGTCAATTTCAACGTCAAAGTCAAATGAATGTCATCGTCTAAATATTTACTTGTAAATTAAAATGTAATTAGTAATTTAAATAAACATTTAGGGTTTTTATATCTCCTAGCGACATGAAACTGTTATTTATAAAATTATTTTTACTCATCATGTCATTTAACGGGCCTGTTGATTTAGTTCAGTGGGTAGTGATCCTGGCTGCTAAACTAGAGATCGTGCGTTCGATTCCCACCTAAGACAAGTAATTCTGTTATGAGCATTGTCATATGTTCTGTGTATGGGTGTATAATCTATAATATGTGTGTATCTATTAAATATATAAGTATGTTTATTAGCAGCCCGGTTACCATAAAATAGGCCCAGTCTATTTTGGTATCAGGTCAGGTATTTTGGGTCATATATAATAATAATAATATATATCTCACACACTCACACACGGCCGTCTGATCCCAAACTAGGCAGAGCCTGTGCTATGGTAACCAGACCGCTGATAAACATACTTATATATTTCTAAATACATACATATTATAGATAAATTACACCCAGACACAGAACAAATGACCGTGCTCATCACACAATATTTGTCCTGGGTGGTAATCGAACCCACGACCTCCGGTTTAGCAGTCAGGGTCACTAACCACTAGACCAACAGGCCCGCCTATGAATAAGCCTATGACAGTGCACTGTAAGACATAGGCTTTCATCAATCTCAGTCAGCACCTGATCCTCAAACTCCTGCATCCAATACATCCCTGCTACATTCTTCTTAATAAAAAATATTGTGTATATGTGTGTGCAAAGACTACCTATAAGTGCCCTACTCTGGGAGGACCCGGACCATGTTATTTCAGGTCCTCCCCGAGTAACCAATCAGCCTAGTGGCTGGATAATGATAATTGTTGATTATGTAGTCTATGACCTTCAAGCCTTTAAGAAAAGAGCGAACTCCCACCTTACAGGTCAGCAACGAGGGTTTGTGCCAACGTTTCCTATATCATACATCAAGTTTTAAAAACAGCTCCCGCATTAGGAATATATCCTGTGTCGCGAGGGACTTTACAAACATACATGAAAGTTTTAAACGAATACAAAGAACACCCAGACTCAGAACAACAATTCGTGGATCACACAAAGTGTTGTCGCATGTGGGGATCGAACCCAGTAGCAAGCGACGAGGTGACCGCTTAAACCACAACGCCATCCGTGCAGTCCAATATACTGCGTAGTAATTACAATCATTTTTCTTTTGCAATTTTTTTTTTAAAAGACAACTCCCGCATTAGTAATATATCCTGTGTCGCGAGGGACTTTACAAACATACATGAAAGTTTTAAACGAATACAAAGAACACCCAAACTCAGAACAATAATTTGTGGATCACACAAATTGTCGTCCCATGTGGGGATCGAATCCACAACACTCAGCGTATTGGTAAGAGGCGTGGCGACCGCTTAAACCACTACGCCATCCGTGCAGAATTCGTAATCCAAAATAAAGTGTTCGTAATCCTTAAGAATCTTACAATTTCAAAACCCAATCAAATCTTCTTCAATAATTTTGATTGAAAAATGTCAATCAGTTCAATACCAGGGCACACGCGAACAGGAAGTGAACAATGCTGTCACAATTTTACTTTCTCAGAGGTCACGGAATCAAACCCAAGGCGTGGAGGTGAATGCACCCACACAATAAAGTTCATTCTTGTTAGACATGCCAGCATCCGGAGACCGTGAGATTCTCTGTCGTGTAATTTTAGAAATTTCTAGACCTTATCAATTGGAGTCCAAGAAAATAAGAAATGGCTGAATCTATCTTTTAACCCTTTTGTAATTAAAGTTTTATGATTTAATCAGAATATTTAAAATAATAGGTCAAAATATAATAACATTGTAAGAATTGTTAAAAGTTAAAACGTGTTGAATTAATGAGTCATTTTTTTTTATATTGATATACTCTAGAGATATTCCAGTTTTGCAATAAAAGAATAGGAACTCTTGAAGATTAGAAGATTGTATCGCTACGGTAATAAATCGAAAATAATTTGTCAATTTTCTTTTACAATACGTACTAATTGCAGCAAAGATATCTTGGCATTTAAATAGAAGAAGAAAAACGAGAACATTTTTGATAACAGTTAGATATTGCTGTTAAACTTTCGCTTCTACTTAAGATAACATAACAAAGGCATGTCGTTTCGTGGGATCTGTACTGTTATCATATCATCAATAGTACCCCAGGCGATAATGGCGCGAGTAAGTTGTTTATTTCTGATGCATTACAATAAGAAAGTTTTTGAAGGCAAAAAATACATACAGCGAAACAAAGAACAATTTTTGTAGTCGTTTAAAAATGGGACGGTTTTACTCATGGAAAACGATTAGCGACTTCAAGACCCATTATCGTGTTAAATATGTTTATTATTACATCATCATCATCAGCCTATCGCAGTCCATTGCTGGAGACCGCGTCTAGGCAAACGTTGTGTAGGACGCCCACAGGCCAGGTGGAGTGACGATCTTCGCAAGATGACTGTTAGGAACAGGATGCGAGAAGCTAAAATCTGAAAATGAAAAAATGAGAGTGGCCTACTATTACATGTAACATACATATTGATCACACTGGCGACTTGGTGAAGGTAGTGGGAAGCCGTATGAGGAAGCAGCAGCACAGCAATGGTTGTTGTGAAGAGCATGTCCAGCAGCGGACCTCTTTCGGTTAAGATCACATCAACAGCCTCTAATAGTCCACTGCTGGACATAGGCCTCCCCTTAGAACGGAGGTTTTGGCCTACTATACCACGCTGGCCAGACGGGTTGGTATAGGGTTTGTGTCAAGTTTTTCTTCTTTATGCAGTGCTGTTGTCCAGCGTTGTATTGCGCCCTATTCTGCTCTTACGACACCTACAGGATGAATACACGGACAACAACACTTCAGTTGAGATGATGATGACATATTGATCGTAACCATAGGAGATGTTTCGACACAAATAGGCAGGTACATCAAGGCTTCACATGAAACCGGTGTTAGCAATTCTTCCGAAACTAAGTGAGTGAGGTTACCAGAGCCCAAAATCCCCTCTCCCTGATTTGGAAGAAAGGACTCAAACGCCCTTGTGACTTTCGAGTTGCAGGTGTCCATAGGGGGCGGTAATAATTTATCATCAGGTTAACTGTCTGCTCGATTGGCCCTACAACCAAAAAACAGTAACAATCCGGGAGTGCCGACAGAAGTGAAAACTTACTTATATACAGAGGTGTCGGTAACAGTAACAGCGTCGCGACTTCAATGGTTTTTTCAAATAAAATATATTATTTTGTTGTTGTTCAGAAATGTCCAACGCGCCTAAAGAAGTTGTCACTTAAAAAAAGATGTTAGTTGTTCAGCCTTAAGAACTGGTTCATTACAAAAACTTTTGGAACAGAAAATCAGTCTACGAACGATATGAATGATCTATAGAAACATGTGGTGGTGGCGTGCCTGGATTTGAATTTTTAAATATACAACTGATTAAAATATTTTTAAAAACATTGGAACATTTATAAAATATGCTTTAAATATGACACGATCTACTCCATGACTTAGGACTACAACAAGAAGCGTGGACACAAGTGGACTGTCTGAACTGTCATAGTACAAAAGTCTATCGATTGACAGGTCAAGTCAAACTGATCCATGAAATTCTACCTCCAGGCCATCTGCAGTATATAATGGTAAAATATTATCACACAGATAACAAATAACCCAGTTTTATAAAAGGTCGTCAGTTGAGGAGATTATTCGTGACTTTTTAACCGACTTCAACGATGTTCTTAATTTAGCTGAATTTTTTGAAATGTGAAGGCGTCGAAAATAATAGTGTCTAGCTGTTGGCAACTGAGTTCTTATAAGCTGTCGCTGTGTGTGTCAGCTATGTTGTCAATATAAATGATCGATTAGCCCCACACAAGCGTAAAAAAGTTGGTTAAAATACCTAAAAGTACCTGAAATGTAAAAATATCTTCAAAGTTCCGTAAAATCTCAGAAGATGTTTGACACTGACTGAAGCACTACGAGGAACTCAACTTTGCACTTCTGTCTATATCATAGCATGTTTGAATGCTTTTAAATTATTATTTATTAATTTCATTCTTTTTAAATCTTTTTTCTTTCTTTTCTTTTCCTTTTTAAAAAAGACAACGCCCGCATTAGGAATATATCCTGTGTCGCGGGGGACTTTACAAACATACACGAAACGGACACAAAGAACACCCAGACTCAGAACAACAATTTGCGGATCACACAAGTGTAGTCCCATGTGGGGTTTGAACCCACAACACTCGGCGTACTAGAAAGCGGCGTGGCGACCGCTTAAACCACTACGCCATCGGTGCAGTCATGATACTGAGTTCATTATTTATGCTTCTTCAGATAAACCGAAATGACTCTAAGTCTATCAATATGTTTACGAAAATCAAAAGTTTCGATTTCACATACAGTGACTCCATATTTATGATACCTACAATCCTTTTTAACACTAAGCTGGTATACCCAAAAACTTAGACTAGATCTATTTTACACAACACTTTTTAGAACTTATAGATATAACACCAAGCGTACTCTTGCTCCTAGAGTGTTTATGTAATTGATTCTTGTAAAACCAATAGCCAGTTTGAGAAATTCAACTTAAACCGCATGACACGTTTTTTTTTGATACGTAACATTTCCTGGCTGCCTCGCTGTATTGCAGTGGTAGCGTTTGCGACTGCTGTGCTGAGGTCTCGGGTTCGAGTCCCGGGTCGCACCAAATGTTTGTATGCATATTACTATATTATGTACTATTATGTCCAATAGTAATTGAATATGGGGTGAATCATGGTTATGTGAGAGAGCGCTTCTCGCCTTCAAACGTAAAAGTTTGGCGAGTTTAAGTAACCTATGTACTATAATTTAATTATCAGAATAAAAAAAAAACTACAAATATGTATTTCGAAGTTAGGTGTTTTCTATGTTAAATATTTATGTATTAAAAAAAAAGTATAAAAGTATTC